ATAATATTATAAAATAATGAATCATGAGCAAATAACATTCGGCGGTGACGGGTGATTACGATGACGTTTAACGTTCAATGAACGCTGAACACTGCAAGTCGCGTTCGTTGTACGAACCACTCCTTACTCGATTCGGAATTAATTCGTCAAGACAGACATACACGCTATTTAAATTTAATAGTATATTATAATGTATCTATATGTATGTATTATTTTCTTCCTCAGGGGAACTGGTTGTTCTGACTAGGCGTGTTGACAACAATTGGTACGAAGGCAGAATCGGAAGCAAAAAAGGAATATTCCCTATATCTTACGTCACAGTCTTAGTGGAACCAGGCGATCATCCGAGTAATTAAAATTATTATCATTATTATTTGCACATAATTTATGCGTTTGCCCACTCGATAATTCAGGTACTTATCAGTACGTCGAGTATGGGTATGCATCAGATTACTATTCTGATCTTAAAAGGATTGGTTCGTTTTATTTTCAGACTCGTCGACAAGCGAATCGTTCAAGCCCGTGGCGTCCCCAGCATCTCATTCTCTCATTACCAGTAATCCGCCGAAGACGCAGCACATGTATCAGCCGGATAGCTATTCTTCTATGGTATCAAATCGTCTAAACCAAAAAAAAATTGTTATACTTTATGAAGTTAGGGAAACTTATTGTCGATGATATTGATTGTAGCCGACAAGAAGTTCCGGGACCCAAACGAAGAAACACACAAATAACATGAACGAAACTCTACACGTTGACGTACATTCAGAACCCATGCCGTAAGTAAACGAATACATTTTTCATACTATATAGCCATATAGGTGCACAGTTTAATACTTTATTAATTTATTTATTTTAACAATATTATAATTTATGTGTACAAAATATTTATCACACTCTGTTACTTGTCAGGTACATTTGTTTTTTATTTTTCTAAATAATAGTTTAACAGTTATAAAAATACAAATAATATATATTACTATAGGTATAATAAAATACATGATAGCCAATAATTGTAGAGTTAATTGTTGTGTACGACAGACGCTGAAAGGGATTGCCTCTTATAGTTATTATTATGTAATTTTGTTACTATAATATAATTGTCATATTATGGCACGATTACAGATTAAATAATATGTGGGATGTAGGTAGGTACTCAATTATTAAATACTGAAATACAATATTTTTTTTACATTTTATATTTTACATTTTTACGCATCTAATCATATCGGTACTTCAGTCTAAAAAACTTCAATGTTATCTAAAATTCTGTAGAACTGTAGAAGAAAACATTTTATTACAATAATGCTAAAAATCGTTTTTTCTTATTGTAAAAAAATCACAATGTTATCAATGAAAATACATACACGCGCGTGAACTTATAGAGATAATCAGTACAAAATCTATGGCCGAATTGTTTTGCACTTAGCAGATGTACAGTCAATTGATCGCATACATTTGGTTTCAGAACATTTGGTCATGTGTCAAATGTGTTGTATTTACATAGGCAGTACTAATTTGGTCAGGGTAAAATAAAAAAAAATTTTATGCAAGAAACAAAATTAAATATGGTGCAGTAGGTAGGTACTTATAATAAAGTATAATAACACAACGATCGCTAGTAGCGATATCATAGAATATAATATTGGCTTTGCTGGATGAAGAACGTAGGTCTTACCTCGTACTCGTAACCAAAATATACGATATAACAATATTTTATCTAATAATATGTGTTTCATTATTTTATACTTAAAAAATATATTTATCTCACTATTATCACACTAGACTGCATATTCAAAATGTACGTTTATACTTTACTTCAGTCTTCAATAACAGTTTTTACGTAAATTTAATATATTTTTTACTACAAAAACAACATACGTATACAAAACGATGCATTGGTTCTTTACTCGTATAATAATTGTAAAATCATATTCAAATTAAAAACAATTAAAAAATACTACATAATAACGAATTAAATATAAAATAAGTATAATATGAATATTGCGACTAATGTGTACAATGCTGGACATGCAATCAATGTGCATTTGCCACCAAAATAATATCAAATATGCAAACAAAGTCTTGAAACCATTTGACGTGGGTGCCAACATATCCCATACCATCATCCGTCATATAATATTTGATTTTTAATGTATATGATAGAATATAATATTACAAAATGAGCGATTTATCACTCAAGTTGTTGACAGTTATAGGGCGTTATACAATTATAAGCCACAGAACAGTGACGAATTGGAACTTAGAGAAGGCGACGTAGTGTTCGTGATGGAAAAATGCGACGACGGATGGTACGTGGGATCGAGTAAGCGGACAGGATGCTTCGGAACTTTTCCTGGCAATTATGTCCAACGCAGTATCTGATCTGTTCACGGAAAAACAAAATAATTTTTCTAAAAAATCATCATTGCGTCTCCTCGTCCTCCTCTCCGTGTCCCCGGATTCTTACTTGTCTCTCTAAGTAATACATAATTTTATATACCAAAGGATTTTGCATTAACTATAAGTTGTTTTTTTTTTTTTGGTTATAGTTTTAAACGTTCACTGTTATCATATTATAATACGTATTAAGTGTAATGTACATTTCGTCTGTAATTAGATATTGTGTTGTTATAATCGAATAACATTATATTACTACTATTATTACTATTATTATTATTATTATTATTATAAATATTGTAAATTAAAAAACACTAGTCAATCAATATCACTATTAGAGATACAATTTAATATAATATACCTACTCTATTCAATAAACTAATGGTATAGAACACTATAATATAATATATTACACTCCAACGGAGTTGTTAATATTTGTACAATAATAATATACTATATATTATAGTTTTATGCATATTGAACGTACCTACGTCATTTCTGAGTGATCGGCGTTCCACGTATGTAAACCTAAGCTGCTTTGTTTTTTTAAGAATCTTAGCCCCCCTGAACGAAACCAGAATATATTATTATTATGATATTTTATTGACGTGTCTTGATTTTTATTATTTTTAATTCGCCTACGGGAGACTGGAAACAAGCTTTAATTCTAAACTACTACAGTATTTAAGATTTCCCTCAGCTATATTGATTTATCGTCGTCTTTATATTGTCGATAAACATTAATACCGTTTAAACAATTATACAAGCATACACGGGTAATATCTACTATTATACATTCACACACACACACACACACACACACACACACACACACACATGTACACAAACACGTTAGATATTATTGCTTTTTTTTCTGGGGAGGGGTCTAAAGTACAGTGGCCCACACACCGATTACTACTTACATGGTCCACGGATGGACATACTATAATTCCCTTTGAGGGGCCAAAAAGTCCCTCCCCCGTTTATATTATGCCCATGCAACACACACACTTACATACGACATACCTATATATAAATAAATACTAATTGTTTTAATATAATATGATCATATTTTTTATTATTTGTATTCTCGTAACAGTGTAACACCAAGTGTTCCTTAATTAATAGGTGTACTATTATATGGATAGATTGGCGAAACATCTAACCAATAACCATCTAATTTTATTTCGATGAACCACAAGCACATAGCGCATATTTTAATATATTATGTATAAACTATTTTATAAGTTCAGTTTAAATATGTTTAAGAAAAATGTCTCGAATGTGTGTTCATTTTTTTTTCAATCATAGGATGCAAGTGTTAAATATTAGGCATCTGTGTTGTCCGAGAGCATTATTATTTATTTGTATACTTGTTTCGTGCAATCTATCCTTGATGTTAAAATAATATATATTATGGTCATTGTTAATTAATTATAATATTATATTATGAGGTAAATTTACCTATATATATACTATTTTGTCAGTTTGTACACGTACATTTTAGCACAGAATATGCTTAATGAATGATAAATAAACTAATATATAAAAAATATCGAAACATTTATTTTTACTATATTATATTCAATTGTATTTATTATTTTCTTCTAAACAATATCACTATATTCTAAATTTATAAACTCTTATATTGGTATCGATATCAAACCACAGCTGATGTATGTTACTATGTTACCTACAACTGTGTTTGAATTACATCATTGACTAATGCAGTATATTTATCGTTTGTACATTATTATTATTTATCATCATCGTTATTTATTTTATATGTATTATTATCAAACATAAGTATCTATTGACCTATCAAAATGTAGACATCATGAATTTCATATACTAATTATGTATATATAACTAGTCAGGAAATTATTTTATTTTTAACTAACTAATAATATTTTAGACTGTAGTAGATACCTACCTAAATATTATAATTGTATATTGTATTATGGGAATAAAGTCTATGACGTAAAACGAATATAGGTTACAACAGGTAATATAACAAATTATTAAATGAACAAAGAAAAACAAAATAATAATTCAAAAGGGGCCTGGTGTGGCACAGTTGGCCTAATGTGTGCTAAGGTCAAGCACCGTCCAGCGTTGCTGGCTCCCGGATGGGTGACCACCCGGGTTCTTGGTGACGAGTCCTTGTCCCATATAAAGACGTGTTCCTCAACCAACCGTAACCTCCCACAAAAAACTAATAGCCATAGTTACAGTAGTTCAAAGACCAATTAAAAAATAATAATAATAATAATAATTCTATGAGAAAAAGTATAAATTCACACGCCTAAGCATACGCCATCAATTAAATACGATGTATTATAATTCTTTTCTTTTTTTTTTAATTCCTTGTTAATTAAAAACCAAAAAAAAAAACTTAAGTTTATATAATGATAAATTGCTGTATTTCTTTGCTTAAAACTTAAAATTCAAAATAAATAGGAACAAAATGTAAAACAATTGGTAAAATATAAAATAAATTCTTACTATAAAAATGATTAATATTAAAACTGAAATCACCAAAATAGCTCTGTACGTACGTACAATTTAAACTATTAAGCTACCCTATGGTCTATTAACTTTTAAGATGATGAATATTCACCACCATTTGTATTCTCGTTTATTGTTTCAGTTTCCACTTTTTCATGTTGAGACATAGATTCCATGTTTTTTTTCTGTTTTTTTGTCATAGGATTTACAACTCTCGATAGGTTGTCGACCACATACTATAATTATAAACAAACATAATATTTTTAGAACAAATATCAATAATCAATATAATATTAAGTGGATAATAATTAATAATTAATAACATTCGTGAGTTGTACCGAACTTACCGAATTTTTTTACTTACCTATCAATCTATACTCTATAGTAATTTATAATTATATTTGTATTTATTATTATATTAGTCTACAATTCAAAACATGTAAGTAAATATCTAATAATATTGTTGTATTGGGCAATTTATACTATATAGTTTATTTCAATAACAATGTTTCAAAACTTAATCAAACGAAAAGTATTACTATTATTAACTTATGACCTATGCTGTAACTGTGGAAGTTAATGAAATATTAAAATTATTAAACATTATTTCTTAAAATGTAGGTACCTATTCAAATTCACAGAGATATTCTATGCAAATTGCAATATAGGTACACTATCGGCATAATAATATATATATATCATATTATATATTTAAAAATGCATTTTATACACCCATCTATTAATACGGCAGTAGGTATTATAGTGACAGGCATACAGTATACCTAATATATGCATATTGATATTGGGGTCGGTGAAAACTTTAAGTATTCCTATAGCGTAAGTGGCGAAGTAGCAACTAACATGTTAGTCTGAATATTATATAACTGAATCGAAATCGATGAACTTACAATTTACATAATATTTTTTATAGGTACCGTTACCACTTTAGTATTTAAACATGGGATTACTGTGAAATAATTCATCGAGTAGGAAAAATATTATATACCTATTTAATATTTATTGGTACCTGTATTATTTAGCTGCAGTTTTTAATTTTAACTGCAATTATAGTATTTAAGCCAATGAAAAAATGAACAATCAACTCAAAATTATATTTGATATTTTTGAACGAAAAATATTCAATAATAATGATGCAGTTTTTACATATTATAAGCCATTATTTCAATTTGTTTAATTCAAAAGTTCAATGATACATTTTAAATTTGGATTAATAAAATTAAGGTAAGATATTTCAAAATCTGATTTATTTTTAAATCGGGTAAGTCTATAACGAGTAATGACACATATTTCACAATTCCACATTAATACTAGTAAATAATCCCCATTTTTATTGTTGATCATGTTTAAATAAATACGTAGATTTATAATATAAAAATAAATATAAATTCTATTATACCTATACTTACATTTCTTTTTTCGTACACATATCGTATAAACATTTCTATGTAACACTTGGCCATTTGTTCGGTGATTTCAATCATCTTCACAAGTAAAGATGCTCCTTCTCTAAGTCGCAGACAGCCCATTTCCACCAACAATAAGCTATTAGCTACCTCAGCCGGTGTCACGCCATCACCGAGTTTCTTCCAGATCTGACGAAAGGTCTTTGGCAACAACTTTGGTTCAAAAACAAACTATGAAATTTGGGTTGAGTATGTATAAGCATTTAATTAAAAAAAAACACTTTCAAATACTAATTTTAAAGTTTTTCATATCCACGTTATTTGCTCTATAATTTTTAGCTTTATTTTATTTTAACTCGTATTACTTGTACTTATAACGAGTACTGAGTAAATTTTAGAAGAGGCACTTATTAAAGCATATAATACATAACAAATCATAATTATAATACATATAGAATATACGAGTATATAGGACTATTTAAGTAAATAATTAGTTTGAATTTGATTTCCTTAAAATTTTTCAATATAAAAATTGTTTAATTTAAATTATGCAAAATATGTAATAACTAATAAGTCATTCGCAATTAGGCAAAACTAAAAAAATATTTGTTTGATGACAACAATTTTTTTATTTTAGCATTTTAAATGGTTCACCTATAGGCTATAACGTTCACCTTTAACTTAACAATACAATCAAGTCTAGTCACTCTGTCTTATATTACTCTTATTCCATGATTATCAACCAACATTTTCGTTTAATCAATTTGTCACTTTATAATCTTTCTTTGAACAGCTTGGTCAATATGTGGTATACATACTATACTGGATGGCTCACCCCCATATTTTCTTTTAAAAATTAATTTATATATTATCCATCCAGTATAGTATGTATACCACATATTGACCACGCTGTTCAAAGAAAGATTATAAAGTGACAAATTGATTAAACGAAAATGTTAGTTGATAATCATGGAATAAGAGTAATATAAGATAGAGTGACTAGACTTTATTGTATTGTTAAGTTAAAGGTAAACGTTATAGCCTATAGAGTATAGGTGAACCATTTAAAATTCTAAAATAAAAAAATTGTTGTCATCAAACAAATATTTTTTTAGTTTTGCCTAATTGTGAATGACTTATTAGTTATTACATATTTTGCATAATTTAAATTAAACAATTTTTATATTGAAAAATTTTAAGGAAATCAAATTCAAACTAATTATTTAAGCTAATATATAATTCAAACTAGTTATATAATAACTTAGGGGTGCCACCATTGGGTGACTTCCCCCTCCCGTTAATCATCCCCATCACATTTACTTATTACTAACTGATAGGCCCCGACGAGTAGTTGGAAACCCCTAAAAATTATTATTGTCATTCGAATTCGTCGAGTGTTCACATCAACGAAGCTATCTACTACCGACGAAATAATACTACCTATGATGATGTAAATTACATATCTTTATTTTGGTGCAAATTACTATCTCCCTTAATATTGTTACAAAATTAAAATCTTAGAATAAAAACCAATTTATTATTTTTCAATGTTGTATATAAAAAAAAGTGGTTAGACATTGTCATTTTTCAACTTACTATTTTCGTCAGTAAGATTGATTCTCCATACAAACTGTATATCAGGCTCTCCAAATATTTTGGTTCGGCGTAAGCATGTTGTTTGATGCGTCGAACAAGCTTCAAGGACAGTTGACATGCTCTTGGACCCTTTTCACTATTTACAGGCTCTAAAAAATTATTTATATAAGTACACTTCAATATTCGATAAAAAATACAAATTAATTTATGAGAGTAAATAGCTATGTAGTTTTCGCTTGTATAAGGTATTAAGGTGATAATTATTTTATTAGAAACCTGCAACAAGGCCAGATTAAAGGGAAAAAAATAAACAAAAATCCTATGATAACCGAAAACCTTAGTTCAAGAATTTAAACATTTTTGAATTAAATTAAATTTATATACAATGAAATTTTTTAAATCAAAAAACATAATAACTGCATCAATTATTTTATTACTTTTACACTGCGTTTTGAGCGTTATTTGACTGTTCCGTTCCAAAACTAAGGAATTGTAGTAAATAACTAATGTAATAAATAGTAATGTACAATTGAAAATTAATAAAATATACATTATAAGTCTATATTACTCACGCAGGTATAAAATATAATTTCACACACTCAATACACATGCCCTGAAACCCAAATGTTATAAAATTTAAACTATCTATGATAAACTATTCTTTTGTTGGTTAAAATTATTACACTTGCCCAAACAACCATCGCCCAATATTTTAAGCCTTAATCTAGCTCTGGGTGACTGCGTAGGTACCTACATAAATACAATTAATATTATTATTCGTAAATCTTTAGGTTAGGACGTTAGATATAAATCATTGGTGAACAATTTTATCCTGCAGCAGACAATTATGTATACAATATCGATTGATATTAATAATTATATATATTAGATGTGTCGTGCCCGAGTCCTAAGGCAAGGTAAAATCAATTTAACACCTTGTTTCGCGGTTGTACTAATGATTTTTAAGCATGAAAAGTAAATTCTGTTACATCAATCATTATCAATTCTATATGTCATAACATGCAGTGCTTAGCAATCAATCTACCTGACTATGGTACATTAAACAATACATATAGTAAGTCATAGGATTATAGGATATCTATACGTAAATTATTATTCATATTTTAAACTAAATATTGATAAATGTCCAATGAAATGTATATAATATTATAAACCTAAACCATTTTTTAATAATAAACTCCTCGGAATTTTATTAAAGATGCACTTATAGAAGAACTATATCTAACTATATCTAACTTTAATCGTCTTTTTATTCGTTGGTTATATGTTCTACATAGAGAGACAATATTTAAGTTAAAGTTATGCATCAAACATTTACTTATTTGTTGATCAAGATCTAATTCCGGCAAATAATGGTCGACATAATATTCTGCTGGAGGCAGAAGCTCCAAGTCAACCCAGTTGGTAATCGGTGTTACTATTCCAATAACATATTCTACACTTCCATCGTACATCTGAAAATTATATATTACAAACATTATAATTTAATAATTTAACCAACTAGTAGCATTTTTTTTTTAGTAAAATAAAAATAATTTTTAACTTTAATTATTAAAGCCATATTTTGTTACAAACACACAATACATAATTATGTAATCTAATATATAATAATATTAATAAAGAATACTTTCCAATTTTATACATTTTTAAGCAAGCAGTTGTACAAACAACAAAATCAACTATATTTTTTTAAATTGTAACAATTATTTATTTTTACTTGATAGATCCTGGTTGAGGTTTTTTTCTGAAAATGTTGATACATACTAAAATTATCAATTTTGGTTCACTAGATTATTATTAACTACAATCCTCTTAAGCTTAGTAAATTAATTAGTATAGTTTTAGTTTAAATAATTGGTATACATATACCAATTTACTAGAGCTAAACCATTAGTTTTTTAGCTACCTATCTTTTATCCAATTTTATGTATTTTTATACATTTTAATCATGACCTAAATTGCCATCTCAGATATATACTTTTATGGGCCATTGACTTTGAGTGGGTCCTTGTCTCAAGACATAGGAATCAGAGTTGGGCTTGAGAATTCCCTTCTCCAGAAAGGGAAATTTACGAATCGTTACTAAAATAAAATATAGTTGTTACCATTTAAAAAATTAAAATTAATTTTCTGTTGGTACAACTGCTTGCTTAAAAATATTTAAATTTAAATAAAAAATTGCTAGGTCAAAATAAATAAACGCATATTATAATTTCTTTTTTTTGAAATTCCATATATTATGAATCCATAATCATAAACCACGCGTGTACCTACGACATAACTCAACATCAGATACACCTGTACACAAGCCAATTACAAGCTGGTGTAACAGAAAATCAAATAAAATGACCTGACAATTAAAAAATAACTTTTGTTCTACTAATCAATATTTTAAAAAAATGTATAGGTTCATAATGTATAGACGCTTGCGCTACAAGTACGGTACAAAATTTTATTTTATTTTTTAATAACGAAAATGTTAAATGTTATACATTTCATTTGGAAAAAATCAATCATAACCATAATTAACAAAACTAATTTTTAAAAAAAATTTTGATGTAATAACGGTTTTTTAAGCCAAGTGCCTAGTTTAGTTTTACAATTTTTTTAAATATTAGTAATTAGTATTTTTTTGGAGTAAATCAAATTGAAACATAATGAGTTTTTTCAGCATATTCTTTTTGGGAATTTTCAGACACAAGTAAATCTTTAATTATTTAAAATCCATATAATAAACTGTTATACGTTTAACTAGTAGATAGATATACATGTTGTCAGGTCTTTCTGTTAAACTCTGTATATTGTGTATCTATAATCTATGTAAACTTTTAAATGGTATTTCGTAAAAACTTTAATGGATCGTTATACAGTATTTATAATTATTTTTATAATCTGATAATTTATTTTAATGATTTTCAATCACGGATAAGTGGTTAAATTTTATTTTTAAAACAACTTTAATTTACCAAAGTAGGTATACAACTAGCAAATAAGCTGAAAAAACATTTAATTTTTATTTCATTGTTATTTTTAACAAAATCAATTATAAGTACCTATTTAAATTTACTTAAGTATTACATATTTTTTTATTAGACATGCGTTACATTGTATTTGTATTAATTACTTATTAATTACTTAAAAGCACGCGTTGTCATTTGCTTACTTAAATTATTATTTTTGTGATACTATACGTTAATGTATTTTACGAGTGTAACGAATGCACGCCATTCATTTCATTAAGCCCTATAATATTATTTTATACTTGCATAAAACACAGGTGACTATGAACATGTCGTACCTATCTGTATGCTTAAAAATTAAAAATAATATTTTTATCGATTTATTTCGAAATTTATGAAAGTAATAATAATGCGGTGTTAATGTACAGCAAGTGAACGCACGTTAAGAAAAAAATATAAAAACCGCGATTCGTGGTCAAATGTATCTGAAAATGTAAGCACGATTACACGAAACATATAGAAACACATTAACTGAATAGTGACTTTGGTGATTTGAATAATATGTTTAATTGAAATAGGTATAATACTTCTTGGGGCGTTCTTGTCAACACGGGTAATGAGAGTTCTGTCAGGTCCAACGAAGAGCACAGCAACCGATCGATGGCCAACAGTTGGTCTTTGACGTACGGTAATCTGACCACATGATCCACGCCGATGGTGGCTTTGTTCAGACTCCACTCGACGACGGTGGAGGATTCCTATACGACGAGGTAGCCGAAAAAAAACATAAAATAAAACCTTGGCGATTATAATATTATAGTTTAATGTATATACTATAGTTTAATACGACAACCATAACCCCATGCCCCTACTTTCTATTTCAGTATATCATAAATCATAATAGTTGCACTTAATAACTTTTCACGAAAATATTGATTTTGCAATCTCACTCTCTAAAAACGATTATCATTCATTCACCCTCGAGAACAACAGCATTCAGTACAAATAGAAAAGTATCAAAACTATCTCAAGCCTGAAACCGATATGAATGTATGGCATTCAAATATTTAGGGTTCTTCCAAATTATGCCACAACTCACAAGCCATATTATTCAGTCTGATCTCTACATATACAAAAAGTAGAAAACAATCATTCCTAAAAATATCAATATAGGTAATGATAATACTTCAATAGATAAAATATATCATCTATATTTTTGTAACCAAAATGTACTTTTCAAAAATATCTCCATGACTCATGAGTCTCATTACAATCACCCTAAAAAATTCATCTGTCTGATGAATGACGAAAGTTCTTTCGAAGTAAGTACAAGAGTACACGACTAATAAAATATTATAATATCGTGTAACACAGTCGTGATAAACTCACCTTGAGACCGGCAATGAGCTTCGTGAAGTATTTGCAACCCAAGCCGATCACGGGTATTTCAGTTTTGACGCGATCCAGACACATCAAATCGGACAGCAGCGAATTTAACCGCGAATCGCCGTCGCTTATTGATGCAGTGACGGACATATTAAACAATTATTATTTTTTTTAAATTAATAATACAGATGAATTGTATATTTTTTGTTGTAAACGGTACGATAATATTACTCCGAAGTGACGGCTTGAGTCAAGTTAGTTGGCGTGGGTGAATAATTCGTACATATGTAACTGCGGACGACGAGCGACGGAAAATATTAGCAAAGCACCGTTAATTAAGGTATTAAATAAATATTCCCGTGTGCTAGTAAGATTAGATGGAGTTAATAAGAGGTATAATACCTATTATAATGTTATTTTGTGCTCGAGATATGAAAGATATGCAATTCAAATATAATCATTATTATATAAGGTATTATAAATGAACGGTTAAAACCCAACAGATATAACTCCGATGATCATATTATTATAATGAATAATTACATTTAATTATTGGTTTATACCCGTTAATAACTATTACTGGAGTATATTATGCGGTCACGTATAATTGAGAAGATATTGATATATTATATAAGTCCCATAGGCGTAATCTCGGAACTTGCACCCCCTGGAATTGTTGACTGGGTGCAAAACTAACATTTTGCACTCCCTAAATTTTCTATATTTATAATGTATAATTTTGCCAATTTTTTAAATATTTATTAAATAATGTTAACATTATTAGACATTATTTGTAATACCTTTAAGTTTGATAATTATGAACTTCAAGTAGAACTAAATATCTTTAATAGAATGTTCAAATCTAAATAAACTAACTCAAATAATAGTGTATTTCAAAACAAATTAGATCATGTGAAACAAGGTGAAATTAAAAATGGGTTTCGTTTATTATCTGAAATTTTAAAACTATTTATGACAATACCTACAAACACTGCGACGTCTTGTGAACGAAGTTTTTCCTGATTATGAAGGCTTAAAAGTTACCTCAGAACAACTATGGAACAAGAAAGGCTGTCTGATATAGCTATGTTACAACTTACAAATTGATAGAAATCGAGTTATAGATTTTGAAATTGTAATCGACGAGTTCAATGCAGCAAACAACTGTACCTACATGGTAGACGCTTAAGTTTAATTTAATTTTGTTAATTAATATTTATTATATCAATGTAATAAATTACAGTGTTGACTAATTATTTTAACTTATATAATAAAATGTATTTACTTCATATTAATGATGATACTAAATTGTATAGGTATACAATTTTGATCAAGGAACTGAAATTGAAAAAGTGGTAAATAAATGTTCAAGTGGTATTTTGCAATTTTGTAGAAAGTTTGTAACTTTCCTGATTAGTTTTGCATCCCCTGAATTTTAGCGAAATTACGCCTATGAATTAGGTTATTATTAGACAAACCACAAACGTATTAAAACTAATTTAAAAGGTTAGATAAAAGCATTAATGTACATTTGTACATATACCTACTATAGTACTATTGCTACAGAAATACAGAATATCCACCAGTGATGAAAATCGAGTAACAGTTTAAAATTAATATAATTTATATAAGCTCCCTTCTATGTATCTAACGACACTCTACATAAAGATCTAGCCATCCCAACAGTTAAAAATGTTGCGAAAACTTTCTACAAACGCACACACTCCAAGTTCCACAGCCATCATAATCCCCTGATTTCCCAGCTATCCACCAACGCTATTCCTGGTGACCCCAGAAGGCGTCTAAAACGTACCTGGTGTCGTGACCTATTAATTTAAAATTGTTTATACCTCTACCTCCCCTAATCTTATTATCCTTCCTCTCTCACTAGCAAATTATAATCCTAGCCTAATATCCTAACCTTAAGTGCCTCCAATGGGCGGCTTCTTATCTCTAGCCACTCAGCCATATCACCTCCATCACATGCACTTATTGTAAAACAACATTTACAGATTGTGTATATTTAAATAAACGATAAAAATAAAAAAAAAAAATCATAATTTTTGTACCTTATAATAATCGCCCTTTTAAATAATAGCTAATACCTATATTATTATAGTTAGGTATGCGTGATATACTGATATGCGAAACAATATATAAAACTTTAAAAAAAATAATAAAATTATTTGAACAAATCATACAAATTATAATGTGTATTACGTCAAAAAATCATAATAAATAATTGTAATAATCATAAAATATGTGGGTAATGGTAATAATGGTATATGTTATGTTATAATATTTTGAATTGTGAATTAAATGATATGAATGTGACGTGTTAGGTACAATTTGTATCTACAAATTCCAAGTATATAATAATAAAATAAGTATAATAAATAATAATATAAATCCATTATTATAACTATTTATTGCATACTGCCATACTAGAACACGATCATATTATATTTTTTTTTCAATTTTTTAGTTTATTTGTTGAGATACACTATTAAGTTTTAAATAAGTAAGGCATATTAATACTAACGGAGTTTCCATATTATACTCATTACATGTAAGAAAATAAAACTGGCTGGTTCACATTAGACCTTTTCGTCACATTTTTATCAAACCAGTATTCCGGTAGAGTTTACAATCGTCCATTCATCATACATATATACGTAAGAACTCATACATACATATTTACGATATTAGTACCTATATTACATAAATGCAATACCCATGTCATATACATACAAACAAACATACATACATATATATTACATACATTACCCATTTACACAGTGCCCTAGAAATAAGAGCCACAATTGAGTATTCCACACTCGTAGCTTGTAATTTATTATCGCCGTGTCGCATAGTGTTGTAAAACAACGTGATTTTGAAAATCAGAAAATTCGCGCGCTCCGCCGCAGGTGACAATTTGAAAAACCACGGTCGTCGGTGTTTATTATTATTACTCTGAGGTTTAAACTGTGGACTCAGTGTGACCATAACCAATGCATTGACCGTTATCCGCGTCAAACACTGCTCATGGAAGCCTGCCGGCACAGCTGCTGCGGTCCAGGCGGATGCTGATTGGAGGAATTGTAGTCATAACGGTTATTCCTTATCTTTCGTGCGTTCAAGTTACACAAATTATAAACTGCTATAGTCGGGCTATAACACTGAATTACTGAAATGCCCTTACGGTCATAGTGCGAGACGCTGATACGCATCGCGCGTGTAACCGTTCACCGTCGTAAGTTGGCGCCCAAACCGTCGCGTTCTCCAATCTCCATTGTTATGCTCGTGCGTTATCCGAAAAACGGTTTTCGTCGTTGGTTCCTCATTTTCCGTAAATGACTGGTATACCGTATACGTGTACCCTAATCCTCTCGTCCATCCATATTGCGTGACCGTTGGCCATGTCGTTCTTAAACTTTTGAATCTTGAGCAGCGGTTAATTTTTTTTTTTATTCGTGGTGGCTGGTTTTGTCCCAAACGCCTGACTGTGGTGATACTTTACCGTCAGCCAAGTACCGTCACACCTCGCACCACTCGCATAGAATAAATAATAATAGTAAGTGTATATTGTATATGCCGTTAAATATGTTTATCATGTTTGTTCGTTGAGTACTCTAAAGTCGATCGCTTCGACGTACTCCGTCGGTCGTCTCACGACTATCTTTGTCCTTTGATTATAATTACTTTCACTATAATGTTTATATTTTATTTGCTTGTTTATTTATTTATTTATTTATGGACGAACGAGGCAATAGAGTGTACAAAAAATAACTTTTAATATATTAGGTATACATTTTTTTTTTTTGCCATACCTATAAATATTTTTAATTTATACAATCTGTACAATATATTTTTACGATAAGCTAAATAAGTGGGCTCGATTGACTTGATTGAAGAAACTATTCTTTAATAAGACGTGAGTGGCACTGGTTAGTCGACTAGCATGTCACAACACCAGTTATGCTTTAAAAGCCAGCAAGGGTCACCTGGGAAGAGATGTTTTGGTGATTTGTTAGTTTAAGATAGATGCATTTGTATGTTTTGGCAACATTTTTGATTGTCGGAATGAAGAAGTCCCTGTGGAGTGTATCGTTCGGTACAGTGGCGTATATAGAAATAATTTTTGGGGTTTGCTATAGTAGATAGAAACCAGCAAGTGATCTATTACTTAGAGGCTACTGTCTACTATATATTTAGCAGTTTCTATAAAGGAATTATTTTTCATCAGGCTATGAAATATTATAACTTATAATAGTACCTAATAAAATATATTGTTCTATTTAAAAAGACGGTTATTTCGAGGGAGGGTGGCAGCCCACTAGGCCCACCCCCTGTGTACGCCACTGGTCCAGTATATAAAATAGAACTTAAGTTACCAGTCGGAGGCATTTAGACTGGAAGGTTTTGGATTCCGTTTATATTTGAGTAGGGATAGCCTGGGAAAATGTATTACCCAGGCCACATTTAACATTTCTAAACCTATATTGTGAGGGGGCTGATTATAATATGTTATATCCCCCCCCCACTAAGCCTCGATATTTTATATAATTGTTTATTTATCTAACCTTTAGTTAACCTATATATAAGAGGACTACAAAAAAAAAAAACATTTATCAGTATCGACATTTATTGTGAATACGCCCTTTTAATTTCAATATACACATTCTCTTAAAAACTTTTAAAAAAACCTAACAATTTATCTCGCAATTTATTAAATGCAATATCTACTATGCTTGAAGCTTTCATAACAGTTCATAATTTATATTCGTTAAGAGAACACCATACTCACATTTGTCATCAGCAAAACTTAATGGTAGGAATATTATCTGTGTTCGGTTTTTTTTTTTTTGCAATAATTAAATTTTTTAATTGAGTTATGAGCATTTTAAGTTCGAGCTTTTATATACCCAACATTTTCTAGAAAATTGGATCATAGTCAGAAACCAACATACGAACAGAGTTAATGTTTTAATGTTCTAACCGTAACGCCTAAGTTGATCAACTCTAAATTTTCAAACTAACGAAGCTAAATGTGAACTGCTGAGAGTTAATTTGCTGATAATTGTTATGTGCTTGTAAGACGGAAGCAACAAATTCGGGTGTAACCAGTTGTCTTAATACAAACCAAAAAGAATATAAATTTGAGCTTATAATATATTTCATATTTTAATCAAGTTTCATTAAATAATGTAAAAATTGCTGTATAAAGTTGAGAATTGGACTAAAAATGTGAAAAATAATCACATAATTCTCTTGGACGAAGCAAACCCAATAATAATAATGCGGTTATGAGTACACATCTTAAACCAGTCTTACCAATCTTCAATGAGCAATTGTAGTTATTAGCAGAGCTTTACTTAGGAATTTTGTGGTCCGGGCTAAATTTTTGATAGGACCCCTTAAATTGAAATATATAAACCAAATTTTTTTTTTTTTTGCTATTTTGTTTTTTTATTTTCAATTTATAATTTAAGATTATAAATAAATCATAATAAATTACCGTACCTATTACAGACTACAGTAGTATATAGGAACCCCAATTGTGTTGGGGCCTGGGGCTGCCCCAAGTAGGGCTCTGGTTATTAGTGGTAAGTAAAAACTTATTGTATTACACGAGTTTGTATAAATAAACACTAATTAAAATAATTATTTAATACAGCCAGCAGGTCAATAGAAAATCGTAATAACCTTTGGAATTGAATTCCTTTTAGAAATGTATAATTTATTTAGCTAACTCTTAATGTAGGTACTATCAAGTACAAATAAAGTGTATGCAAATACTAGAGTTCTGGTTATAATGATTAGTAAGTAAGTTTGGTCAGTTACAAGGCATTTGTTTGATTTTACATTTAATTTAGTTTGGCATAGCTTTCTTTCTGAGCACAAAACTATATAGTCTACTAACTACCTATCACATCTTTTGGTACATACCTACTCAATAACAATAGAATCAAGAACAGAATTTATCTTAGTACCTACTTAGAAATCCCTTTCAGTATTATTTTACTATGGTCTATATCTAAATTCTAAATATCTACATCAATGATATTAATTTTATAGATTTAGCTAGGTATATCAGGTTATATTGACTTGAATTTTTAGTTTAATTAAATTTACTTTGTTTGAGCCAAAACTTTATTTAGTTTTTAACCTAATATTAATTTTATAGACATGGACAGCCGAAAATCAATAAAAACCGAGATAAAAACGTACTATGGTTTTTTAATAGTCAAAAAAATTAGAGGAGGAGTTTGTGGACGTTTTCCAGTTACAAAGAAGGAATGCACTTTAGGTCGTGATACTAAGTGTGATATAAGGATTCTTTTAGAAAAAGTGTCAGCTCTACAATGTATCATAATATCTGTTGATAATAAAGTAAAAGTGGACTTTTTTTTTATCATTTTATGAGCAGTTATTAATTTTACTTCCAAATTTTCTAGGCATATGTTCGTGACAAAAGTATTACTGGTTCAACCAAAGTCAATGGGAAGAAGATTGGCAAGAATAATTTTTTATTGCATGATTCAGATCAAATAGAAATCTGTGAAAGAAAATTTGTTTGGAAATATCCTAAGAAGCCACATGGGTAAATTTCCTTTAAATAATTTTCATATGTTCTAATTTAAATATTGTTATAATATAATATTTTTTTACTTTAGAGAATCAAATAATTTATCATGCAAAAAGTCCGCCATAAAAAGCGATCATTTATCACCAAGACCACCAGAACGTTTTCCAAACCAAGTCACCACCCCACTGGTACTTAAATTATTACATAAATCAATTAATTTATGCCAGGTTGCATAAAAAAATTATTAATTTAATGGACCAATCATGAGTCACAAATCGTATTTAAAGGACCATTGATACATTAAAAATTAAGTGATTGCTTATGAAATTCAGAATTTATCTACCTAGTTTTTAAAATAGTTTGTTTTTATAATATTTAACTTAAATATTTGGTGTCCAACATATTGTAAACGATAATTTTCTCTGTATTAATTATAAATTAATTTAAATTACAAGGACAAGGACAACAGCAAAAAGTTTTCAACTTCAGCCTACAGCAGCATTAAAACTCCCTCAAAAACAATATTAAGCTTAAATAAAACACCAATGTGAGTATTTAAATTAATGTATAAGCTACTAAAAATTAATTAAAATTAAATATTTATATTCTATAGTATTATCACCACAGAAAATATGTCTAAATCTTCATTTGACGAAGTGCAGAATGGCTTTCAGAATCAAAGTTCAAGTATGTTCCTTTTTTATATTTTATATTTGTAGGTACTCATAGTTAAAGTTTAGATGATGTGATACATTATACATGCATTACCTGGTTGTGTTCACCATAAGATTGTATATTTATATTTTGCATAATTATAATAGCGGGTGTGCGTAAAGGAGAGGTAGAGTACAGAGCTCTACTGCTGTTCTAACACAAAAATAGGTATCTTCACTCATCATAATTGTCGAGAAACAGTAAATACACAGTAAACAGCGTAAGCCAAAACACGGTAACTCCATTAATTTTCATGTGAATATACTGAGATTTTTATTTTTATTTGGCTTTATTGTGTTTTTGCTTACAAAACATCAAACATATTGGACTTACCGCATATTCTCTTATTTAAGATTTTATTTTTAGATGGGGTTTAACAGGAAATTCTCTAATTTTACTTCGAAAGTCTGTGTAAAACACTCATTTTACCTATAAGAACAAAAAAAAAATTTTAAAAATAGAGATTACACTTGTAGTACTGTAGTATAGAGATCTAGGACAAAGGAGGCTTATCATGTAGTTGGGAGAGAAGAAGACAAATGTACTACAATGTATGCTACCTATACTAACAATTCTATGAATGATAATATAGATAGCTTTTAAGATTGAAAATCCTCATACTTAAGAGGACGCTACCCATGTATTTGTACAAAATATTTAATTTAAATTGTTAAAATTACAAAGAAAAAAATTGATTGCTTATGGGTAGTTTAATTATAGCATGTTTCTCCTCCGATTCGATGGGTGTTGTCCCAATCCCCCCTCCAAACTGGACAAATTCCCCTCCCCCGGACAAAAAATGTATAGTTTAATTATTAAATAATATAATATAATGCAAATCAATAAATGTACAAATGGATCCACTAATACCCTAATTAATATATAAATGTTAAAAAAAATATTAAACTATAATATACAAATTACAAATGCCAATAAATAAATTCTTACCAGACATTTTATTAAATTAATATATAAATATAATTCATTTATACTTTCACATAACTTTGGTTTATCGATCATTACCTAATAAATTAGGGTATATTTCATATAAAACAAAAGAACCTTCATATTTGCCAACCTTTTATTATGTGGAAAAATAGATATATTGTTTCAGGGGAAAAATGTCCAGCGCCGCTAAAATCTGCAGAGGGGGTGAACGTCCAAATACCGGGTATTTGTCATTTGAGAGGATGTCGCGCCCGAATGTGTTGTCTCTTACACACTTAGGCAAAACGTATTTATGCAATCTGAATAGAATTTGCTCAATTTTGGTTCTAGAGTAAAAATACTTATTATAAAACTGAATTGTGATTTGTGAAAATTCTTCTGAGGGAAAGTCATAGCATATTTTTTTCATTATGTCCAATATTTTAATATTCATTTTATCGTTTAGAAATAGCAAAAATTTCAACGTTTTTAAAATACCTTCAACTTTTCAAAATTTTTTTTTTTTTTTTGTTTATTAAATGTTTTATTCAATCTGTTACACAAAGAATAATAAGAACAATTGATGAATAATAAAAGTAACAAAGTAGATACAACAGATCGTAGAAGTCTCCCATCGGAGGTACTACGTTAACTTTTCAAAATTTTAATTTTTTTAAAAAAGTAACAACTTTCCCTCAGAAATATTGTCACAATTCAATTTTATGATAGGTATTTTTACTCTAGAACCAAAATTGAGCAAGTTCTACTCAGACTACGTAACGTGTTTTGTCTATATTGTACGTCTGCCAGACAGAGATAACACATGCAGGTATGACGTCCTCTTAAAAAAAAAAAAAAGCTATGCACTTGTACAAAACTAATGTGTATAAAAAAAAAAACCAATAGCCTAAACATGATTTTCTACAATATCTTTGTGAACTAAATAACACTACAATTGTTGAACACTAGCTCAGATATTGAGTGTTTACAGTTATCATTAGGTATATTATATAATTTTCTGTACTGCCTGTGTAAAATCAAAATATTAACTTTAATATTTGATTTTGTTTTATTAAACAGTTTGAAAACAACCCTGAACATTACATTAGCTATACATTTTGTGATAGTATTTCTTTATATTTATCTATTTAGTATTTAAAATTATCATTTATATAATGTATATTTTTGTTTAATATTTTTCAGCTACAACTGCTCAAGAAGAATCTGAATTTATGAAATCATATTCGATGACTCCTGTCCGAAATATACCGGTAATAGTTAACAACAAATACTTATTAAATTATTTATATTTTTTAAAATCATATTTCAAAAACCTGAAAAACACTTGATCAATATTCTATCGAACGTTATTTTAATAAAGATAATATTACCAAATTGATTAAAAAAAAATTCATAATAGTTTACTCAACGTAAAACAAAATAAGTGAATGTTAATTAGTTAATTAATCAATTATTATTTATTTATCATATTTTTCCTACTCTTTTTTAGATATCTGAATATTATCAAAAATTAAAATAAAGCATGCAAACATATTTATTCATTTATAAGTATATCCCAAATATAGAATACATTGGATTTATTTGGATACACCTTGATAGGATTCATTGACAGAGTTGAAGATTTTCTATAACAGTGTTACCAATTGATTAAACTAAAAAGTCCTTGGTTTGTTTATTAATAATAGTTCTATTTGTTTGCCACATGATTTTAGTAAGATATATTTTATTATTTAACATAAATTACATTGCCTAATTTATATATGATCAATGATCTTGCTTAAAATTTAAATGAGTAAATTAATAATTGTTTTTATTAGTATAGAATTGTGTCACTGTAGCAACAGCACTAGGTGTCTATCAAAGTCTAGAATGAAACAATGATGGAAATCTTATCACAATTTATTACTTAATGATATCTTTTATCACTTCTCTAAGTCATAAATATTGTATAATGAAAAGTTTGGCCAATACTTATTAATGTCTTGATTGATTTTGGTTTGGTTATTACTGTTTATTTAAAACTTTATTTAATTTGCCTATATTTTCAGAAAGATGCAATATTACTTTTCAGTTAAACTTAAATAAATAGGTTGGCATTTTGATGCATAAAGAAAATATCGATTCTATGTATTGTATTTACAGTATTATTCTAATATCATTCTAATTACATGTATAATTTTATTTTAGCTTCTCGGGGATTATAAAACTGCGCAAAGAAAATCATGGATTGTTACTAATACATCAGACAATTCATCTTCAATTGGAGCTCATAACAGATTATCAACTGAAAGGTTAAAAAGAGATTCTACTCCTGACTTAAATTCTAGTTATCATTATGAAGATGAAGACGTAGAATTTGATTCCCCTGATCCAACCGGTTTTCTATTGAATAGTGATGATGATGATGATGATGATATAAATACTGCTGATATAGCTGATAACATTTTTCAAGTTGATAATCAATCAGATTTAAACGACAAAGATGACACTTTACAATTTAATAAAAATGAAATAAATCAATTATTAGTTTCTGAACCAGGCACATCTCGAAGAGATACATACTCTGTTGATAGTAGACCTATAGTAATTGAAGAAAATACTACACCTACCCCAAGACGTTCTATTCTGAAGTGTTCAAAAACCACTAAACCTAATCGATCGAGATCAAGCTGTCGAATGGTTCAGTTTGCTCGTTTACCAAAAACTGATAGTAAGATTAAAAATACAAAAACTCGATTAAATCCAGGATTTAATTTTATTGTTACCGATGATGAAAATAATGTGGTTGATTTGAATCAAAGTACTACAAATTCTACGCAGTTTGATGTTGAAGAATATGATGATGATTTGGATGGTGTACAGCCATTAGATATTAGTGTTTCATCTCTAATTAATTCACCAATTTTAGACAATAGTATAATTAAATCGTCAAAACGAAGTTCAAGAGGTAACAAAGTAATGAGTCTTGTAAATTCCATTGAAAAGCGTTCCAATGAATCTTCCAAGCATAGTATTCGTGCATCTGATCTGCTGAGTATGAACGGATCAAAACACGTAGGAACATCGCCTAATGATGATTCTCAAAATAATACAAATCTATTACAAGAATCAGTTTCTTCAACTAGACGAATTAATTTGGAAGATATTTTTGAAGCCGAAGATTCTCTTAAAACTACTTCTAATATTGAAAATGAAACTTTAGCTCAAGAAATTAAAGAAAGCCCAGTAAAGAATGTAGAAATAGTTTCAAGTCCTAAAACAAATTCATTTAATTTTGCAGACACAGAAAAAATTCCAGATAATGTTTTTTCTAAAGATGTATCTAAAAATGATACAAATGATCTTGAAAGCGAGTATACTTTTGCTTTACCATTAATTCTTCCTAAAATCGGTTCTAGTTCTATTGCAGTAATTGATAGTGATTCAGCCTTTGTTGATAGTGAATATGATTTTAGTCCTACTGAAATAATTGATAATCAATTTGATAAAAATTCAAAACTTGACATATCTTCACATATTATAAAAGACTGTACATCTCCAAATGAATTACCAACAAAGACTGATAATGTTGAACGTTCTTCATTAAATCATGAATTAAGTGCAACATCGACACATGATGATAATATTGATGAAACACAGAGAGATAAATCTGATCGTTACGAAAAAGCTGTGGCTGAAGAAATATGTACTGATGACATTGAAACACCAAATATCACGGAGTTGTCTGAACAAAATAAACCAATAGAAAAAGAACATACTCAAAAAGAGAATGATGACTCTGAATTTGTCAATGATGATCTATGTACCAATGACGTCCAGCCATCAAAAAATGATGTTGTAAGAGTTGTCGATAAATCTACAGATCTGAATTTAGATCAAATTGACAAACAAAATTATGTTTCAAAGGTTGTTGAACAAACCCTTAATGGTGAGACTCCATCAATAGTAGTTCAAAGTATGTCTGAAATGTTCAATGCGAGTATTGATGAACACGAAACTACACATTCACAATATAAAGAAAACCTGGTAGAAACGTATGTATTGATGGGAAAAGATGATCTACAAAATTCATTGGGGGTAAAAGAATTTGAAAAGATTAATCTGGACAAATGTAATAACACCTTGTGTGAAAATAGTGTTTTGTCAGCTGAACCTGTGAACAAAAGCCTTATGGACGCTATTGAGGTGCAGCTTGACAAGATGCACAGTGAAAGTGATGCAAGCTCTAATTGTAATGAAAATGAAATTACTCCGGTAGATTCAACATTAGATTTAAATAAACAGAAAACATTAACATCAAATTTGGACCTTGAAGTAACAGAAAATCTTACTTTAAAAATAAATGATAATCTGTCAAACAGTTCACTAAATACATTAACAGTTGTTGAATCTCCAGAAATTATATCTAAACCAAAAACCCCAACAAAAGATAATCTTAGTAACAATTGTTTAACAGATGTTGACTGTTCGAACGTTACTGAATTGCCTGCCAGAACATCAGTTGGTAAAACAAATTCTGTGCAGAATATAGATGTAAATAACAAGGGCTCAGAAATAACTATACCCCCAGACAATCTTTCTGTCGAGAATAAATCTCCAAAACCAATTAAAAAGAAATTAATCAGTTTGGATCAATTAAGAACTGCTCTTGGCGCAAATAAACCTAAAGAATTAAAAAAGTCTGTACAATCGCCAATAATTCAATCTATTGGGAACAAGCTTCGTAAAATTGATTCAACTAAAAGGATTACAGAAATATGTTTATCTTCATCTAGTGATGATGAAAATGACACAACAACAAAGAATTTAGATCATTCATTAGATACATCTATTGGTAAACCTCGGTTTGAATCTACCCCTTGGAATTGTTCTAAAAGTTCAAAAACACCTTTTAATTCTACTGCAAGTATACAGCCAAATGAAACCACAAGAGATGATTCTGCTGAAAATGAAGATAGACCAAGAGATGAAAGTCGTTCTCGTTCAGCTACACCATTTGGTAGTCAAAAAGAATGGTCTCAGATGATGAAAGAATTCAACGAATCTGTTAAAAAAGCCTCTGTTAATATTAATACTAAAATTAACAACACAAGTAACCGTAAAAAAAAATTGTTTGTTACAAAATCAAAATTGTCTCAAGCATGTGTGCCTACTCCTGCAAAAGACTCAAATGTGAAGAACAACACATCAGAAATTAAAAATAATAATTCTATACAACGGTTAATAAGGTCATCAAATATGTCTAATAATACTTCATCTGAATCTGGTCATGTTAAAAGATCTTTGAGAAATAAATCTGCTTCTGTTAAAATTGTTAGAAGATCTAGTAGATCTAATAAATCTCAAACCAGTCACGTCGACATATTTCCAAGAAAAAAAAAATCCATTAACAATAAATCTACTGATACTAAAATCAATGAAACTGTTCAAGCAAACACTAACCGCCCAAAGAAAAGTAAGACAATAATTCCAGTCTCGAAAACTGATTCAGAAATAGATTTTGTTCCATGTTCTGAAAGTGAGAATAACTCTACTACTCCATACTCGTCAAAAGAAGAAACATATCCATATAGCCAAACTAAAAAACCAACAAAGAAATTTAGTCTTAAGTCACCATCAACGAGTGTAAATAAAAATGAGTCAAATAATATTATAAAAGAACAAGATAAAGTACAAATAAAGGTCACTAAAGCCTCACTATCAAGTATTGATAATGAAAGCTCTTGTTCTACAAGTTCTATAAATGAAATACAAACATTCGAAAGAGAATTGCGTAGAAGAAAACATATCAATACTTCCTCTATTAAAACCAGGAAAAATACTGATAAAGTGAAAACAACAGAAAAATCGAAAAAGAAAAATACCTCATCTACTAAGAGATATAGTACTAACACCAATAATGCACTACCTGAATCAGGTGTAATAAAGTTAGATAAACAAAATAGAAATGTAGTTAAATCAAAATCTACCAAAATTTCAAAAACTGTAAAAACTAAGAAACCCACAAACTTAAGAACAAATATGAATTCTAGATCAAAACGTCTCTTACCTTCCAAACCAATTAAAACAAGTGCAAAAGATTCTTCAGAGTATGAATCGTCAAGTGAAACCGAAGAGAGTACTCAAAAACTACAATCAGTAAATCATCCATCTAAATCAATCAAAGAAAAAACTCAGAAGAAAAATGTTTATGATGATATTAATTTATCCTCACTACCAACTAGGCGTAGCCAAAGAGAAAAATTAAAAATGCCTGATGTTTTATTGCAATCAGGAAGACAAATTCGAAAACGTGCAGCCAATACGTCACCTCTAACTCAAAACAGTAAAGACAAAAAAAAGGATATTTCATCTAAAGTAGTAGCAAACCCAGTTTCTCAAGCTTCAAAATCTCCAAATAGAGCTAATAATATTGTAACTAAACAAAATTCAGCAGTTAGTAATTTAGTTCCTGATGGTTCTTTACCTGAAACTACAAAGAAATCCTCGGGTTTAAAATCAAAAAAGAATTCTCAGCTTAATCGTCTCTTATCTTCTAAACCAACTAAGACAAATATAAAAGATTCTTTAGAGCATGGATTGTTAACTGAAACCGAAGAAAGTACTCAAAAACCTCAGTCAATTCTTTGTCTACCTAAATCTACCAAAGAAAAAACGAAGAAAAAAGATGTTAATGTTGATAATAATTTATCCTCATTATCAACTAAGCGTAATCTGAGAGAAAAAAGTAAAACTTCAGATGTTTCATTGCTACCACCAAAGACACAAAGTCGCAAACGTGCAGCTGATTCATCACCTTTATCTCAGCCCAACGCTAAAGGCAAAAAATGTGATATCTCATCCAAAGTTGCAAACGCAGTTTCTCGTGCTTCAAACTCTCCAAATATACGTACCCGAAATATGTCCAAATTAACTGTTAAACAAGTTTCTGATAATTCTTTTCCTGAAACTACAATAGTCATTAAAAAAGAAAGAAAAAAATCAACTGAAAAAGTAAAACCAAAATCAAATGAAAATACTCGAACCAAAAAACGTCAACTGAATTCTGATAATTGTTCTTTTGACTCTGCTCCATCTACCAGTAAAAAAAGTAGACAAGTAACTTTCAGAAGAACAGAAAGTGAAAATAAGAAGTCTGATTCATCTACATGCACAACATCCAAAATTCAGAATACAGATGAACCTATTGGGCCTAATGCTTCTCTCAAAAACAACAAGTAAGTAATCAATAATCTCACAAAACGATTAAAAAATAATTGTTCACCTTGATCCTAGGTTATGTTAAATGACACTGCTTAAAAGTCTGATGCAATTAAAGTCCAAAAATAAAAGTAGTAAAAGATCCAATAATTATTATTACATAATAACTACACGGGTACTATTATTATTTTTAATTAACATGTGCTCAAACAAACACTTAACTTATATTTTACATTGTACATATAGTTATAATAAAATATGAATATAATAAATTTGTTTCGGTAATGGGGCTGATATCTAAATACCATACGATTAACATTAATTTACTTTAGATAAATAAAATATTAAATATATCCTGACTTAGCCTATAACTTGGCCGTGTCCTAAAATTATCCCTTACACCTGTGTTTATTAAACTCTGTGAATCTGCAAAATTCTCATTAAAATTAAAATTTAGAAGTCCTGTTGGTCTATTATTTAAAATAATTTTTGAATTAAATAAAATATTGGTCCACATTATTATATAAATCTATTATACTTTTTATTGCAAATAATACTTACATAAAATGACTATTGAAACAAAGTAGGGGTTCTAATTGTCGAGCTGTAATAACTTAATGTTGAAAGCTAATTAAAACAAAGTAGGGGTTCCATGATAATAATGGACATATATATAATTTAAGAAACACTGCCCTATACCATACTTGAGTTAAAAACTCTAAATCGTTTAATTCAGAGTTAACATAATGTTTGGAGCCTGATGTTTTAATTTATTTATTGTTTGGTCCATGCTACTTAATGATATTTTTGCCCTATTGGGTCCTACCTCAAGGATTACCATAACTCGAATAAAAGATATTCCGATCCATATTAACTTTAAATTTTTAATATACTGATAATTTATAAATAGTTACTTACTTAATTAAACAAACAGTAATTTTATATACATAATGAATTTGGGTGTTAATGGACTTAAATTTTTAGATTTGTGTTAAAATAGTTTATTATTTAAACTGACGTGAAACTTCTTTACAGAGGGTACAATAAAAATAGATTATCATCCGTCATAACACTAATTTCTATAGTAATAAAAAATAATCTTTGTATAATAATGATAATATTATACTAAATTAATTTTAATTGAAAATTTAATTTTTATATTTTTCCTATACAAACCTAATATTTGACTAAAGCGGGCGAAAATCGTTTTTTTCATCATAATCGAAGTTTCACTTTATTCAGCGCGTACTTGCAATTCACACTTTTTGTTTTAAAATTTTTTGAGTAATGGCAAAAAGCCTATTCTGTCTATAATAAGAGTAACCCCAGGCGACAGTTAGCTTTTGTCTGGTTCTGTGAAACTAAGCTGATCAATTTAATAGGTTTCCGACGATCGGCTATGGCCAAAAAAATGATTTACCGTGTTAATCTTAGCAATCCTAGCTAGATAATAATAATGAACTTTATTGCAACAACAACATAAATAATACCATAGGTTACATATTGCAGCAGATGCTTCCAAGAATGCTGGGTACTCTATTTGAAAACAGAGTGAACTATTATAATACATAGTATTTTTATATGATAATATATATATTGTTTTGAATTACAACAACTATGAAACCTATGAAGAAAACAACATTTTTTTGTTAAATCCAATTTTAGCAAAATATTCACTTCCAACGCATAACAAAGATTATGCATATATGATATATTTTTAGTACTTTAAAATTGCTTTAGGAATAATTTCCTTAAAAAATCTTGAAATACATTTTCAACTATCTTGCCTGAGAAACATCAATTTCCCAACCTAGCACATTTTGACTATTATGACCACCAGACTACCCTCAATCAGATTAAATATCAGAGGTTTTTCTCCAATGTGCAATAACAGAAGAAAAATGCATTTTTAAACCAATTTACAGTCCTTGCTTTACTCAGAATCTAAAATAATAAATTAAACCGTACTTTTATAATTTTTTTAATGTTTTTCAGAAATGTGGAAAAGTCATTTTACCTATACAAAGAAAACAAGGTAAAAAATTACGCACATGTATTTTTGATATATTTTAATTGATTTAACTTATAGGGAACCCTTAATCTTTTGACGAGTGAATTATTATTTTAACATGATCACTCACAGAGTGAATTAATATGACAGTATGGGCAACTTCTTATACATATGAAAAATAATAATGTAATAAATATATACATTTATTATTCTAATCTTGTTACGTTTTTAGAAAAGTTAGATAACAGATGCAACATCTATTTTGTTATGTGTTTGAAATCTGTACAAAAATAAGAATTACTACACTAAAATTCGATAAACACCATAAACCATAATTCAACGCCTTGATGTAAATATACATATTATTCCTATTACTCGTCAAAGGGTTAAAGCATTTTTTATGAGACACAGAACTTAAAATGTTTTCAATATAGATCGAAAAAAGAGTAGAGTTGAATACATTCAACTTATTGATACTGTTTTGTTACCTAGGTATAAACAGTGCTGTAATAAGATACATAGATACCGTATGGATACTTTACTTTAAAATTATCTAGATATAGAGAACATAAATACAGAGACAAGTGTCTTAAGATACATTTAACAAAAACACACTATTTTCTTCACAGCGGTTTTATAAATTACAAATATAGTTACATGAAGTAACAAATAAAAATTAAAGTAAAAATCTAATGTTACACAGTGTAATATGAACTAAAGAATCTAAAATATAAGTTTAAACAGTACTTTTATAAATTTGTTTTTGTGTTTCAGGAATGCTGAAAAGTCAATTTCACCCATTCAAAGAAAAACAAGGTAAAAAATTAAAATGTTGCTGGATAGTGCTAATTAGTTTAACTTATGTTTAATACCAGTTTTCTTCATTTTTAACAGAAATTTGTTTTGTTGACAAATTTTAAACTGTTAAATCATGTGTTGTTCAAAAAATATTGTCAGCTTTATTATTTTAAGTGTTAAAAACTTTTATTAATGGATTCATGCTTTTATATTAAAATTTTTAATTTGGTTCATTGCTTTATTAATTATTATAATTATATGTCAAGTGTGAACAAAAGATGGAAATTCCATGATATAATAAACTAGGTATGATGCCATGATGGAAACAAACCAATTTTTGTGTTATGTTGTGCAAAGATGGCGACGGTATTTTACCAATTTTCATTGGTTTAGATAATATTATCATATAAGAAATTTAAAAACTGTGACCAGCGCCATTTTTTGTCAGAGTGATGGTCGGCGGGTGAGAAGGATGTGTATCACGGTGTGTGCATCATACCTAGTTTATTATATCATAGGAAATTCAAACCCGGGATTAATGTGGTGGCCAAAGGGTGCACGGTAACGGGGCCCATCTTTATCCCCAATATATATTTTTTTTTAACGCGTACAATGCAGTTTTCCAAAAAAAAAATTATTTAAGCAGGTAGCCTAGGTATAGTAGGTATATTATTATTAATAATTATAAAATAAAATTGTTCTTAATTTTACGAAAAATTACTATAAATAATGAACTAAGTTGACAATTTCGTTTGTTTTTTTTTTTTTTTTTGTTAATCATTTTAGATAACCGAATTAAATATATGAAAAGGTAGTCACAATCAAAAAATATTAAGCTCTTGTAGATTAGGTATTTCAGTATAAATATATTAATGCATATTTTACTAAACTTTAGAGGACCATGATTAATAACCTAGCGAATCAAAATTGATCATTTGACTGTCAAAGTATTCAGAAAAAAGCTTTACCAGAATCCATAAAAAAATATAGTGGTTATGTACTATTTGAAAAAATAAAGTCTATTTTATTATTAGGCAATTACTAGCTACCGGAAACCTCTCTTAAAACATGTATTTTAGATTCTGAGCTGAAAACAAAATAATTAGACTTCATAGGTAAACCAAAATACCAAAAAGTTTAAACGGAAATGTAGATAATATATAGAAGATATTTGTATTTATTTTGTTATTAGTCTCATAAAATTCAATCTATTGGTCAACTGCTGATGCCTGGCCAAATAATTACTCTTTAGAATTAATAATACTAAAAAATGATTTCTTCAAATTATTAAATATTAAATTCTTGTAGGTAGAACTATTCAAAACAATTTGGCCAAAATTCAACGTAACATAAAAACAATTCGAGGATTTATTAGGTTATTTAGAATGGCCAGGCTCTGTATGGCTGCCTATCTTATATTCGTTAAAGTTGCTCGGTTTACCCATCTAAAAGTGTTATTCTTGATGTTTGATTTACGTATAACTGTAAGACTGTGCTAAAGATGATAGAAGTATAAACAATTTGATAAAACCACTAGATTTTTTTAAATATTAAAAATACTAGAAAGTATATTGGCCGGCTATGTTGTTTTGAGGTTACAGAGTAGTACGTAACAAAAATTACTATTGTAAGATATTAAATATTTCAAAAAAACTAAACACTTTAGACAAATTGTAGTCCCATTAACATACACATCACATATGTACAACAAAAATATACTTTAAACTTTAAAAGTAAATAAATTATTGTGTGAAGCAAACAACTTTAACATAGTATAAAATAGTCAATTATGGTTAGCCCGGACTAGTGACTTAGCGTGTCATCAATAAATTCTTCATAACTCATTGTATAATGTATATAGAAACTATTTTCCTAGAATTGAACGTTCTTTAAAATTATATAAAGCTTATTTTTTACGTTTTGTACTCCTTATTTATTAAGCTATATATTTTAACTTTGTTCAATGTTTATGTAATATGATGACATATTTAATACGTACTTTGATTTTTATTTTAGAAATGCAGCGAAACAATCCGCTCCAAAGGATAAAGAGACATTTATTTCGCCTCGAGTACTAAGAGTCAGGGACAAGAAAAAGTGAACGAATGTCCAAGAATATTTTTATGTGTATTGTTTATGTTAATTTAATATTGTGTTAAAAATTGACTTTTTTCTTAAGAATAGATGTTTTGTTTAATATATTCACTGTACAAGTACAAGTATTAGGATTAGAAATATCTATGAATATTTTTTTTTTTTATTATTATTATTATTATTATTAATATGATTAAGTGCTAAACTTGTTTCAGCGATTATTTTAATTAACTGCAATTTATTTTAGCTAAACTAATTTTTGTCAATCATGGTTAATTATATTTCTTTAAATTTTGTATTATTCCGTTAATTCATAAAACGGTTGTTTATGTAATTAATTATATACTATGTGTCAACATAATGTTTAAATTTTGATTTATTTTGGGTGATATGGAATTTGTTTTTCAACAAAATTTAGTTACTACATAAAATAAATTCTTTATAAGTATGCAATTAATAGAACTTTATATACTAATTATTTCTATGTTCATATTTATTATGGAACCGAACTATAGAAAAGGGAGTGTAAATGAATTTAACAAATTTTTTTTCAAATCTGAACTGCATTTTCCATTTAGTATGTAGATAAACTTAGTAATCTAAATGTTTGTGTGACTTTAATTATTGAAATAAAATAGAAATAAGAATAACATTTGATTTTTTAACCATTATGTATATTAGATTCATTCGAGTGTATGACCCTAGTTCATTCAAAAACACAATTAATTTTAATTAAATATTATTATAAACATTTTATAATAAAATAAAATACAGGCCAAACTGCACATAAAGGTAAAACCAAATATACTTTCTGAAGTACCTACTGACTACTGCCTAGTGCCTACCTTCAATTGTTTTATTTTAGATTCTGAGTGGAACGATGAATGTATTGGTTTTACAATGATGTGTGTTGTTTTTTTTTTGTGTCTGTGTACACAGTTAGTATATTGTTTCAAAGGCAGATGAAAAATATTAAAAATCCTTTGTCACAGTTTTTTTTATAAGCATTTAAAGTTCAAAAATTGACAAAATATGGAAAAATCACAAAAATTAGCAAATTATTTTGAGTTAAGAATTCGTAAAAATGTTTGTTTTTAAATCTAAGATTTAAAATGTAATACAAGATTCCTTATAAGATTATCTACCTTTATCAAAAAAAAAAATGTCTAAGAAAGTCAAATTAAATTTTTATGAGCTTTTGAAATCAAATTTTTACAACAATTCCACTTGATTTCTCATATAGCGATTTCCTTATTTTGTTGTAGATCAACAACAAAAAACTGTAGATACATGAAAATTTCACTGAGTGTTTATATTAGCATTTTCTATACACCATACAATTTTAACTTTTTGAGCTGTTTACGAACATTTACAGTTTTCAATTTTTTTCTATAAATATCAATTAAGTTTTATCTGTTGGGCCAAAGTGTAAAAATTTAATTCAAGGCTCCTGATATATTGTTACAATATCAGTAGAAAAATATTAAAAATACATAAGCACAATTTTTTTTTATAAGCATTAAAAGATCGATTTTTGACATTATTTTGTTGTGATTGTATGATATTATTTTTGGGTACTTGAAACTTCTAAATTATACTATTATATATCTATGATTGTACCACGGTTTGTTGATGTATAACACAATATAAGTACCTAATGGATATTGTGATATGATTCATTTTGAATTTATTATATGTTGTATGTTATATATAGTCTAGCTAAGTGTTATCGATAGATTAAATTACAATGTTGAGATCTAAGTTCAATTATAATATGATAGCAAATTAAATCAATGATAGGGCTGATTGATTTATAGATGCAACCAAATTAAAGCAATGAACTATTCAACATCTCATTTTTTACTCAATAAAGTTCAACATAATACGGGCCAGAGTGATTTGGTTTATTGAATTCACAACAGATTTATCAAAAAATAATAATTATGTAGTGATAATAAATCAAAAAGTACATTTAAAAAATGTTGAGTTAACGTTTACAGAAAGAGAATACAAAACAAAATAGTTGGGATCAACAATATGAAAGGATTTCAAATAATACTTAAATAAACAAAAAATATATTTTATACAACCATACAATTGTATGAGTTATACCTGCTATTATATATTATTGTATAAATAAATATCATTTTATAATATTTACTTTGAAAAATAGAAAAGAAAAGAGAATAATGTTATTAGTTTTACTGAGAAAAACTATTGAATGAAATGATAAGGAGAAAAAAAATTAATGAATTTTAAAATAAAAATGTTGTTTTGTTAAAAGCTTGCCAATAGCAATAACGTTTCAACGGATGATAGGTGGGAGGGGTGAGGAGTTGAAGTCAAAGGTATTTAAAAATATTTCATAATTTCAGCCGTGTTAAATTTAAACTCTGGCCAGGGACTTGTTTTCTTGATTCTGCTTTTATTTTCAGTCGCCTGAACTGTGGCAACAGTATCCTTTTGCACAACTGGGGATTTGGAGACGTCCAAACATTGAGGAAACATGGCGAAGAATTCTTTAAGTTTGGTTTCCTAAAATTCATAAATTGAATTATCTAATATTTATTATACAAGTGTAATCATAATTTACACTAACCGAAATTGCCTTGGGTTCAGCTAATGTAGTTGCAGGAGAAGGAGGTTGCTGTATAGGTGTACTTGGTTGAGGTGCTAAAATTTGAGATTTTGGCGAACTGTATCGTTCCGGAAACATAGCGAAAAATTCTTGCGTCTGAGAAGTCTAAAATTTTTTTTTTATTTAACAAAAATTATTTTTTTAGTTTGACAACAATATACTTACAAGAAAGTTTGTATTTTCTTTTTTTCTATCCGGAGTAAAAATGATAGCGGGATCAATTAATTCTAAAGTATTAGGCGGCAATTTAGGAATCACTGGCACCGATTTAGGATTCTCGGGCAATGATTTAGAATTCTTTTGTGCCACTGACTTAGGATTTTCCGCCGGTGATTTAGAACTCTTTGGAGGCAATTTAGAATTCTTGGAAGGCTGTTTAGAATTTTTGGGTGGCTTGGCATTTTGCTTTTCTTTTATTCTTTTTTTAACCACCCAACTCTTCAATTGTCTATATAATGAGTAATTAAAATATATTTATTGTTAAAATGATTTAAGTTACTAAAATAAAATAAATGTGCAATATTTTTGAATTGAATTATTACCTGATGAATGGTAATACCATGTAAAAGGAATGTTTATTTAAACTCTTGGCAGCTATATGATCTCTACGGTTAGATGGCAATTTATCTAACGCAAACCACTCAATTGATCCAATTTCATTCCGAGTTTGAGGAGAAAATTTTGTTTTCATGCTGACTCCAGGCACTATGTATAATCTATTGATCTGATCATTCAACACAGTTTCAATGTAATCATCCTTGTTAATCACACTGCCAATGTCATAACCAATTTCTTCGTAAACCTTTAAATGTTAAATTTGTTGAATTAAACGACAATCAATTAGACATTTTTTGTTAACTATTATTTTTACTTCTCTAACTGCACAGTTTAATGGATCCTCGTCTTGGTTCACTTTGCCTTTTGGGAATCCCCACGATGTTTTGGTCCAATAACTTTGGACCAACAATACTTGAGTCATATCTTCATTTAGTAGAATAGCACCATATGTTGGTACTGATCTTTTATATTCACGCCATTCTTTAAGCACATCCAAAACCTGGGATTCGCGACTTCTCAAAAATGGTATGTGCTGCAAGTAATATTAAATCATCAGTTAAAATTCAAAAAATTCAAGACCAACTTTCATTTCCAAAATGGAAATCTTTAGATATATATCAGTTGTATTCAACAATTGCTTGGCATATAATAGGTACATTATATAATCTAGGTATTTTTTCTCTACTTTTTAATTATATAATATTTTAATGGTATTAAAAAATACATAAAAAAGGTAGGTAAGTGGGTTTCGATCTGCTGTACAGTAGGTTACGAGTGGGTTAATGTAATGGATGATGTTAAATTTGAATTCAATGATATAATATCATTGTATACGAAAAACGAATCAGAGCGAAAATGGTCAGTCGGCCTATGATATATTACTAAGTATGTTCAATGATATTATTGTGAATAAAGTAATTTATTTACATAAATACGAATAACCTTGTTTTAAATTTTTAATTCTTAGCTATATGAGTTGAATATTTTATAAATATTTAACTACTAAATGATTTGTAAATTTCCAATTTGATAAATGTTGTTGAAAATAAGAAAATGATATAATCGTTACATGAAAAATCGAGTGAACATCCAATTTTGTAAAAATTTGAAATTCCCACGCTCAGAACTTTTAGATTCTGAGCGGAGCGATGAATGTATTGGTTTTACAATTATGTATGTTTTTTTTTATATTTTTATTTATATTTTTGTGTCTGTCATCACGTTTTAGGACAGTAAAAATGCTTAGATTTTCTTCATCAGTAGCTTTTCTGGTAGGAAAGTGAATCTAGTTGGTACTTTGGGGGGTCAAAAGTATAAATTTCACAGTAGTTTTCACAAGCGCCGGGAAAAACAACATAAAAATTAAGGAAAAACGGGAATTTTTACGCAAAATTGGTTTTCCAAAAAATCGATTTTGGTTATTGGTGTAACTCTAAAACAAATGAACGTATATACATGAAATTTTCACTGGTTGTTTATATTTGCATTTTCTATACACGATAACATTTTCAAAATATTTTGATTTATTTTGAACTGTTTAGGGACATTTACATTTTCCATTTTTTTTTAGTTTTTTTTCTAAAAATATCAATAAAATTTTATTTATTGGTTGCGAAAGCTTGAAAATTTAATAGAAGGCTCCTAATATGTTGTTTCAAAGGTAGATAAAAAATATTAAAAATCCTTAGTCACAATTTTTTTTTATAAGCATTTAAAGTTCAAAAATTGACAAAATATGGAAAAATCACGAAAATTAGAAAATTATTTTGAGTTAAGAATTCGTAAAAATTTTTCTTTTTAAATCTAAGATTTGAAAATGAAACACAAGATTCCTTATAAGATTATCTACCTTTATCAATAAAAAAAATCTCTACCGGACAGTCAAATTAAATTTTTATGAGCGTTTGAAATTCAAATTTTTACAACATTGGATTTTCACTCGATTACTCATGTAGCGATTTCCTTATTTTGTTGCAATTCAAAAACGAACGACTGTAGATACATGAAAATTTCACTGAATGTTTAAATTAGCATTTTCTATACACCATACAATTTTGAAAATTTTTTTGGCTCTTTTTGAGTTGTTTATGGACATTTACAGCTTTCAATTTTTTTTAGTTTTTTTTTCTATAAATATCAATAAAGTTTTATCTGTTGGGCCAAAAAGTGTAAAAATGTAATACAAGGCTCCTGATATATTGTTACAATAGCAGTTGAAAAATATTAAAAATACATAGGCACGATTTTTTTTTATAAGCATTTAAAGTTGGAATTTTGACAAAATTTATCAAAATCTCGAAAATTATCAATCGTTGGAATTAAAAAATTATAAAATGTTCAGTTTTTATAACTAAGAGTTGAAAATTTAAAACAAAGATTCTCTTAAATAATTCATACTGTAACCAAAAAATCTAATAAATATATAAACACACTTATTTTTTACAGACATTTTAATTTCAAATTTAGACAAAATTTCATATTTAAACCAAGAACTACGATTTTAGTTATTTTGTTTTGATCGAATAATATTATTCGTGGGTACTTGAAACTTCTAAAGTGTACTATTATATATCTATGATAGTATCACGGTTTTTGTTGATGTATAACGCGTTATAAGTATCTAATGGATATTGTGATATGATTAGTTTGTAATTTATTATAGGTACCTATTATAGGTCAATTTTTTGTTTAATACCATAGATATGTATATAATATGTCTTATACATAGACTGACATACCGTCACCGCTCAGAATCGTTTTTCTTATACAATGATATTATATCATTGAATTCAAATTTAATACCATCCATTATACAGTGCCCCATTTGTAACCTACTGTACAGCAGAGTGACATCCACTTGCCCACCTTTTTTTTTTTGCGAGGGTAAACAAACTTATAAGTAATCTTGTATTATGTTTTTAAATCTTAGATTTAAAAATAAAAGTTTTTATTAATTTCTAACTCAAAATAATTTGCAAATTTGGTGATTTTTTACGTATTTTGTCTTATTTCGTCTATTATAATATCTATCTTTAAATGATTATAATAAAAATCTGTGGCTATGTATTTTTAATATTTTTCAACTGCCGTTGTAACAATATATTAGGAGCCTTGTTTTAAATTTTCAACCTACCGAATACAATTGTATTTACATTTATAGAAAAAAAACTAAAAATGTCTGTTAACAGCTCAAAACAAATTATGGTGTACAGAAATAGCTAATATAAACATTCAGTGAAAATTGCATGTATCTACGGTCATGAGGCTTTAGAGTTACACCAAAAACCAAAATTGATTATCCCGTTTTTCCCGGAGGTTTTGAAAACTAATGGGAGTTGTAAATTTCGGCCTGTCTAATGCACCAAATGGATTCACTTGCATTCAGTTGTAAGATACTTGTTTGTAAAAACTAATAAGTAATAAACTTAATAACTCATAGCCCATCCACTGCAAAGTATAAAATGTAATGCCTTGTTACCAGTCGCCTAATTGAAATTCTAAATATTTCTTTTAAAGAATAAACTATGAATTATTAGGATAGCTAAGTAAAGAATATCAAACTGTAAATAAAACTGTTAGATAAATCATAAATGCAATACATTTATGAATTTTACACCATAATCATTAAATGTATGATGCTAATCTTAGTAATTATACTTCTGTGAAGATATCAAAGATATTTGTTCCAATATTATATACATAGGCTGTGGACTGATTAGAAATATATAAAAATAGTGGGAATTTCGTAAGAATTTAATGACATGTTTACTATTTTTGTAAAAATCATTGACATTGATATCAACTATTTGATAGTTAAATGCGAAATTATCTTTTTGTTCAAAATCATCATTGTTAAAATCATCAACATACCATATAGTTTAAGTATAAGTGTAGCTATGACATATCAATTCTATTTCACAATCTATTGTTGAAATTATAGAAAACTTAAAATGGCAAATGGCACATGTATCTGTATTCATCATTTGTAAACAAACAATTTGACATGATTAACTTTAATAAAAAAATAAATAAATAAACAATAATATTTACATAGTTAATTAATGACCCTATATGAAAATTAAACTATTAACATTACCTAAAATTATTATTTCAAAATGTATACTTGGCTCTAAATAGTAAATTGTCTAATCAAGCATAAACAAAATGAAATATATTAAATTCATATAATTTTTATTAATTGCAATGGATACATATTATTATTATTATATTTTCAGAAATATTATTTTAGAATTATAGCTTTTAATAAAAATAATGTAAATTTTTACCCGGAACATATGTAATGCAAATTGGTTGATACCATATGGTTTTAAATTATGTTCATCACAATAAAAATCGATGTAAAACCAATGGGCCAGTTCAATTTGGAAACAAATTCGTATCAAATTTTGTCGTTCTACCTCGGGAACATTGATTATAAATCGACTGAAAAAACAACAATAACGACAGAATAAATAAATGTCATGTCACCAGTAATAATATAGTTTAAATGTTACTAATACGAACCAGCTAAGGTCATCTAGAATTTCCTTAGTCAACTTATTCTGTATCATCTGGTCTCCTTTTTTTACTGTCACTGGCTTCATTTCGATGATCATATTTGTCAACGGATAAACGGATATGTCAACTACTATTGTAGTATATCGGTTATATAGGTTCAACGAATAAATACAAATATATATATATATATATATATATAAATATAAATATATACGCGACTACGCGAGTACTTATCGAATAACAAACACGTTTATTTGTAAACACAATGCAAAACGGTTTTAATATATAAAAAAAAAACGAAAATACGCACTTGTCTTTTTAAAAAATTAACAAAATGTGTCGTAACATTAATATCACACTGTTTTAATATTATAATATAATTTAAAATTATAATTAATAATTACATGACTAAATGCTTCAGCTAATACTGTGTCTCCAATCACTAAGTCCCCGAGTGTACGTTATGTTCATTGGTATCGGTACGTTTTAAACACAGGATGGTATACACGGCCATTTAAGATCGAAAATTTTCCCAACAGGAAGAAGACAGAGTCACTCACTCGGGCGATTGTTATTGTTGTGCACTCCAGGTTCAGGCCGCTGCAGCTTGTTAGTTGCGAGTTTGCGACGCAATTTCTTGACGTCACGATCAGCATCAAGTAAAAAGAGAAAGCCAACAGCTGATTCACCGTAGGTTTCCACACATGATTATTCCCGTACAACGGTCACACTGATGATAGAAAGTACCATACATTATAAATCTCATGGGTACCATCCACAGATATATACAATAATAATAATAATTGTATATATCTGTGGTACCATCATAGAACAATGATATTTATTATTTACCAATATAAAATTTAAAATTTTATAAATACCACAGATGTATACTAATAAGTATATTTAACACAAAATAATTATTCATTATTTCATTAATTACTTATCATAAATAATAGAAGAACTTTAAATGATTATAATAAAAATCTGTGGCTATGTACCTATTTTTAATATTTTTCAAATGTCATTGTAACAATATATGTATATTAAAAGCCTTGTCAAGCTTTTTTACCCAACAAATACAATTTTATTGATATTCATATAGAGAAAAAAACTAAAAAAATTTAAATTTGAAATGTTTTGAGAAAAATCGAGACTTAGTACTTAACACCAAAAAAAAAAACACAGGTATCTACGGTAAATATTTTCAAGTGTAATCGGGATATAAAGTTTTACAAAATCCGGGCTCACTTTTTACCGTTAGACAAAGTCCAAAAGAACCAAAAATACTAATATTCTATTAAATTGTCATTAATAAGTATATTAATAATTGTATTAATATATAGGTATTAAAATTGGGTTTTCGGAGGTGATAGGGACACTTAAATACATATTTTCAGACCAGTTTCAAATTTTTAGATCACTTTGTACGCACATGCGCACAATAAGACTTACTTTTTTTTAAATGGCAACCCCAGTCTTCCTTAACACGGTACACCTTGATATAAAAATATGTATTATATTATATCTGTGGAATGTGGATCCATCATATTTACGAAGTATAATATATCTATCATTTATATTCTATGGCAATTCTCAAAGTCGTTGCAGAACTGCAGAAGACACAGTCGATTAAAAATTCTAAAATTTCAATAAGCAAAACAGACATGAACTAAAGTCAAAAATCATACACCACTCCGTACGGTTTAATTTGTCATAAATCACATAATATTTTCAGTTCCTTCTTTATCTGGAGCGTTTCCACATCGGCGTCGCAGCTCTAGTGAACATACATCACGGATTCCTCCAAAGAATCGATGTTTAAAGTAAAATTTTTTTTATTTTCTTTTTTAGGCTTAAATTTACTTTTAAGATCTAAAATACATTTTATAAATGCAGTTTAGTTCCCACGCGATTTTTTCGATTTTTTTCCCCCAAAATATGTGTTTTAAAGAATTGAACACAAAATTCTAATTCTAAAATTGTCGCAAATCATTATTTTGGAAGTTATATCTTTCCATAGTGTACGATTTTACATATTTACGATTATATGCGTCAAACGCTTTCCTACATTTTCGTATTGGATTGTCTCTTTTAAGAGCAATAAATAAAATAAATAAATAAAATGATTGAATCTTGCCAGGGACTACAATTATCAGCGGTTGTTGAAACTTGAAAGGTAGATTTATAAACACCTTAATAGATTTAGGGCCGTTCTTACAATGTCTGGTAAAGTGTCGGTTAACGCTAACCGACTGATAACAGATTTTATTACCGGCAGAATTCTTCCGGTTAAGTGTCGGTTAACTTTAACCGGACGTCGTAAGAACGGCCCTTAGTTTTTACCCTGTGACCTACTTGAGGTGGTTTTGCAGTCGGGGGATATTTTCGATTTACGGAGCGGAGCGACTGCGCCGAGGAGCGTACCGACGGTAACACACGTATAGTTACTGCCGAGGGATATTGTGAATTGTGATATCGAGCTGTGATATTGTGTTAATTTGTGCTTTTAGAGTTACCAATGTTTAGAAGATGAAGGATTCGTTCAATCGTTCACTTAACGGTGAATCATTCTATTCAATTCCAAAAATTTTAAGTAAAAAAATGCGAGAATTTTCGGATTGGACTTTTGTATTCAGTGCTTTAGAACACACATTTTAGGGGGAAAAAAATAAAAAAATTGATTTTTCGAGTTTTTAAACAGCAAGTACGATATTTATATATATATGCAAATTTCCATTTATCATATAAAAACATTCAATTTTTTAAAAAAATCAAACGTTTTTTGATGTTTTTATAGAGGATATCACGGATTTTAAAAAAGTTGACCGTTTTATAGTTTTTTGAATATAACTTTTTAAGTAAAATAATGCGAGAATTTTCGAATTAGACTTTTGTGTTCAGTGCTTAAAAACACATATTTTAGTAAAAAAAAATCGCATGGGAACTAAACTGCATACTGCAACTAAACAACATTTGTTCCAAATAAATATTTAATGTCACAAAAAATGTGCTATCCAAGTGTTGTAGACGCATATATTATCTTTATATAGTTCCAAGCTAAAAATGTATAAAATACGCGAGATCGAATAATACAAACGTCGTCGTTTTTCCAGTCCCCGGCAGTGGCGCAACTACGGGGGTGTTTAAACTTTAATTTAAGCACCCTCAAGTTCCATGTCTTTGTAATTTCAAATATCCAAAGTTTTAACAATACCTAATTTAGGTAATTTTATTTTTTAAGATTTTACTATCAGACATCAGTTATTTTTGTTCTTAACAGTTATCTTGCGTACATGATACGTATCATCATTTATATTACAATTTACAGTATATTATTATTACCAGTGCTCGAACTGGGAATTATTAAGTAGAGGAGCTCAATCCAGCAATTTATAAGCTGCGTTCCAAGAGCAAAATTACTCAATGTAGACCCGTGGGGGGGGACAAGCACTCCACGCCCCCCTTCACCAATTCTTCATTTTTCAATCCTACATTTCACTTTGGTTACAAAATTTTAACTTTATTCTATTCCAAATTTCCAAATATTATATATTTAACTATATGCATAGAAAAGAGATTATATATGTATGTAAGCGAATATGGATTCATATTTAATATTCATCTTATATTTTGAAATTTTTATTGATAGAAATAATACTTACATAGTTACATATTACGGTAAGATATTAAAAATATCAGTGATAAAAACTTAGTAAATAATAACTATAATTTGTGCTTCAGTCGCTTCAGACGCATACCTATGTCAATTGTGGACACTATAAAAAAAAAAGTCCACAGATATTTGATAATGCAATAGCTTATTGTAGCCTGTAGGTACTAGGTATACAGGTATGCTGACAAATAGATCCCGCGTCATCGAGATCCCGGTAACCATTCTGTGATACCAGGTCCGAGTCATTCAAATCCCGGGACAAAATGATCCCGCGTCATTTAGATCCACTGACATTTATAGATCCCTGCTTGTTTGACCATAGACCTATTAACTATGGACAGCGCATTCCTACCCGCACTGCCCACAATTCTAGATGATCATATAACTGAGAGAGAAAGAGCATAAAGCAGTGAACCATGGAGGAAATACTAAACTTTTTTTTTTCCATTTTCTTTATCCATAGGTTTATGCCTTTATCATCTATCAGTAATCACAAATTTATCACGTTATCAAGAAATTAACGCTCGGCAGATTTTATTGTATTACAATTTTTTATTTGGCGGCACACTGCCAAAACACTACTTTATTTCTTTCTCACTCTACTATATCGTTTGGCTGACTTATCTCTCTAACGCTGTCCATAGTTAATAGGTCTATGTTTGACACATCTAGGTACTAACTGGCGGCATTTTTAAAAGTCAAGTTAGTAGAGAATTATTTATGCCTTTACAGTTTACTCCCCAACTTCATTAAAAAATAACTTTTAACATGGTTAGTGTCAATAATATATGTTTTTCGTTTGTATACTTACCACCTAGGTACCCACATCACCCTTAAATTCGCTACCTATTTAATCAAATCTGATGGGCGGTGGCATAGATATAAAAAAATCAATGACCATATTACCACAGAACAATGTTCTGTGATATTACTCCGATGTTTCATCCATGAATTATCATAATTAATAAGGAACACGCGGTAAAAAAGAAGAAAAATAATGATAAAAATGTGTTTATAACTAAATGTGATTATACGAAAAACGAATTCAAATACAAAATAATAAAATATTCTTTTATTTCTTTTATCTGCGATTGGCAATAGACAGTCACTACTTTTCTGTAGTTTTTTTTTTGTCCACCTACCTAGCCAATGCCTAAAACAATACAATGCGTATTGACACTTGTTATTTTTGCTCGTCCAAAATATATCCAGGACATGGAATGCATTTCGTGAGAAATGATTGTAAGGTATATCAAATACATAAAAGATTTCGTACTGCCTTGGAACACATTTATTTATTACTTAAGTATGTTTTAGGTATTTAAATTTTGTCGCTCAAAATGTCACAGAGCATTCCAAAAGAAGAAGAATCCTAGGCGTGTACGGTGGACCAAAGCATACCGTAAGGCTGTTGGTAAAGAACTGGCTGTCGATCCATCATTTGAGATTGAAAAAAGACGTAACATACCCATGAAATATGACAGAGAGTTTTGGCAAATGTCAAGTAAGTAACTTTATTATACAAAATACATAGTTATGAACCAATTACAGTATATACCTAAAACTAAATACATTCATTAAACCATGTTTAGTGTACAATGAACACATTTTGTAATTAATACAATTTTATAATATTTGTTTGAATAGTGGAAGCAATTAAGAAAGTCACTGAAATTCAAAAGAAGCGCCAATCTACCTATGTAATGCAGCGATTACGTAAAGGACGTGAAGTTGAACAGCACAGAGATATCAGAGAAGTCCAAAGAGATATGTCACTGATTAGATCGCCTGCTGCAGGTAATAATTTATGAACTAATTTATAAATAATTTCAATCATGGATCTTATTTTTATTGACTTGTCATGCATATGTCTTTATTGTGGGGAGTTAACTATTGTTTTACATCACTGTCATTAAAAAAACTATAGATTGGGTTACCAATTCTAGTAACTAAACATCAAACTGTATTAGTACCAATGGCAACGATTAATACATTCATCATGCATGCTCATTAATAAACTACTGTAAAGTCAAAGAAACACATAGTTTAACTATTACTTCCACAATAAGAGCAAATGTAAATACTAAATAGGTTAAGAATCTGGGTGGGGGGAGAGGGCTAGAAATATCAATTAACACATTAACATTATTTATTACACTTTCGAGCAGGGGCGGCAACCTTTTTGATATCTAGGACCAATAAATAAATAAAAATTGTTCACAGGCCATAATCTTATGTACCTTATTTTATTTTATACAGAAATGTATAATCATATCAAATTTAGTTTATTAAGGTTCATAACTGTTAGGTTTATTAATAATTAACACTGAAAAACACTATAAAAGTAGGAAAAAAAATTAATCTTATTCTTGATTATCTATAATTATTTTTTTTCCAATTCCTGTGAATAAGGGATATTTTCTTATTAAGTCTAAAACTCAATTACCTTTACTGTATCATATTAATAAGTGGGATAAAAGATAAACCCCAAATGGAAAAGATGACAAGATCCTTTATCTATAAAGTATAAACTGTTGACTTTATTTAGTATTAATCATCAATTGAATATTTAAGGTACAAAGATATTTTCTTAACATCAAGAAATCAATAATTTTATTGATTTATGATATTTATTTTTTATTGTGTATACATTAGAGTATTTACTTTAAGAAAAATGTTTAAAAAAGTCGAAGATCATTAATTTGCTACATGTAGCTTATCATATTTTTCCCAATTTTAGATAGCTAAAAAATGAACATATATTGTATTTATTATACATTTAGTTCAATATGTTGAAAGAACCATAATAATCTTTATAATGTTAATGTATGATTGGAAAATATTAATGTAAGCTTAAAAATTACTTATTTGTTTCAGGACTTAAACAACGTTTGGCAACGGAAGAAAAACTACTAGAAGAAGAAGAAGAAAATGATGTGGAGATGATTGCTGCAGAAGACGAAAATAATATTGATCATAGTAAATTATCTTACATAAAAATATAAAATATTTATAGCTGTTCAATGGTATTGTAATATGGATTTTTATATGAATATATTATATACGTGAGTAATTATTTACATTAGTTATCTGCCCAACCTTATTTATTACATCACTGAAACCTAACAGATAAGGTACTATACAAATATCTTACCGCCCAATGGATATAAAAAATATAATTTAACCTCATTAGTAGGTACTGTGTTATTATTTATTAGAATTAAAAATATTGTTTGAAAGAAACTAATACAAAATGTTCAAAATGCGTGTCTCTACATTTTTTTTGTTTTTGGCGATTGGTAAGTAATATTTGGTATAATTTAATTAAACATAACATGTATATTAATCTGTATATGAGTAAATTATCAAATTATATTGTAACAACCACAATTTAATGTTATATTTTCAAGTGATAATCTCATTTCTCAATGAAACAGAAGCGAGACGAAAGATCCTTAGGGGAAGAAAAACAATTACCAGGACATATTACAGTAAGTACTAAGTAGTGGTAAATAATAACATGTTGAATGAATCTACATGCATCAGTTGTGTATATACAATTTTCAATCTTGTGATTATTAACACGTTCACTGCGTACTGACGCCAATTGGCGTCATAAGTATCATTCAGCAACGCGTTTGACGCCATATGGCGTCTAATATACATTTAAAATAAATGGTTTAAAATTCCCTACGCGTGGCTGAATGTTATTTTATTATTATTTAGCGTGGATTAAACGCATGTTTTTAAATATGTATACATACGTCGTTATCAGCAGTTTCTTTATATTTTTTTTTTTAATTTCTTTTATCATACGCACTGGGTGAAAACTGCAAAAAGACATACGCAGTCTACGTGTTAATAATTATTAATTCCTATATCTTTTTGTCATCACCAATAATTAAATTTATTATTATTATTATTATCACTAAAAAATAATATTATATTTTATGACACATTATTATAGATATTGAAGTTTCATATCGACCTAAGATTTACTGTCTAGTAGCATTGGTTTTATATTTTATATTTTAAATCAATTTCTTTACCCATTACTCATTAGGTACAATTGAGTTTCATCAATTTAAATAAAATATAATTTTTCTATTGCAATACAATTGCTATTTTAGGAAATAATATTGCAAAACTTTTTGGTAATCAAACAAAGATATTTTTTGTGAAATAACTTTTGCACTAAATAGTCAATTGTACAAGTGTAAATTGTAGTGTACATTCATAAAAATATTTTCATTTGTAGCCTGCAGTAATTGAAAATTAGATTTCACACACATACAAATATAAATAAATGACAAAGTAATAATGTATGACCAATAATATCAAGAAGCAAAATCAGTACATTAAATATTTTTCTATTCAACCACCAATTAATAAATTACGAGTAATTGTTTTTTTTTAGAATCTTTAGGAATCCCTGCTTGGTTGTCAATCACATTCACTGGACTCATTATATTAGGGATTTCAGGAATCATTTTTGCTGTATTGCAAAAATTTATTATAGTTAACAATCAACCTCCACAACAAACGCCTTCCTCAGTGCCACTCACCACATCATCTTAGAACTATTGAAGTATTGATGTTCAAAAAAATTGTATAATTTAAAGTAAGGCAAAATCTATTAAGGGCCATTCTTACCATCGCCAATTAAACTTAACGGACACTTCACTGACGGAATCCTGCCGGTTAGCGTTAACCAACAGTTACCCAGACATTGTAAGAACGGCCCAAAATCTATCTTTTAGTAAAACTAAAAGATATTATTATACTATTCTATAATCATTTTGTGTATGAGGTACAATACAATTTTAACTAGAAATTATTATTATTTGTATGGTATTTTTTTTTTTTTTAATATAATTCAAGATAAATTTGTTTTTTTTATTTTGTTGATCTAATAAAGTACAAAATTCAAGATATCTTTCGAATAATAATACATGATTTATTATAAGTTATAACATTTTCTCACTGTATTATTATTATAATTACAAAACTAACTGAAATCTACATATGTTCATTATTCATGGTTTAATAACTTCTTCGTACAAGAACTTGAATGAGTTTGCAAATCCAGCAAAAGTACCTATGACTATGAAACCAACCAAAAGGCGATCAGTCATTCCACGTTTCAGGTAAACTGGTACACCATCAGGTTTTTGGAATAATGTTTGCCATTCCTTTAAATTTTTCAAACGAGCATCTTCACATAGAGGTTTGCTTCCATGGATACTTCTGGACAACGGTTTAGTTGCAACCAATATTTTGCGGATCGACATTATGTCTGTCTAAAACAATAATTATACACATAAAAGATAATTAAATATAATTCAAAATTTAATATTATAATGCTGGAATATAACTTTGTATAGGTAGTTATGAATTATAGTTTATACCAAGATAAAAATCTATTATTATTATCATTTACTATAATTTAACAGTAAATATTTGTACTGGGTCAACAGCAGATCCAATAAAAAAATATTCCTATTACCTAGATTATAATGTATTTTAAAAATTAAAGAAAGTAAATAAATACTTATGTAAATTGAAAGTAGTGGTATTTAAAGGAAGCGGAAGACAAAGGGATTACATTTATCACATCTAATTTTTAAAAGCCTTATCATTTGGAATAGGCCAATCCGATCTTTCCATAAGAAATACAAAATTTGGTACTCATTTCCTACATTGTAAATTAATTTTGTCAAGTACCTATGCTAATTATAAATGTTAATATTCTAATATTTTATCTTACTTTATAAATTATTTTCAATAAATATTTAAGAATTACTTCATCAAAAATCAAAAATATTTGTCAGCTTTACGTCACCCCAAAACACTAAATCAGTTAAATTTATTGATCGTCATCATTCCTCCTTAGAAAGGTTGCTACTCATTTATTTTTTAAAATAGTGAGAATAGTGGGTATTATTTTCAATTAAGAAAGACACTACAGTGCTACACATTTGTTGTCTCTGTCTTACTATAAAAATTTTAAATTCAATTAATATACCTATTTAAACAATAAATTTCGAATTTTGTTTTTTAGACACTAAGACAAGTTTGAGTGGGTCACATCTCACACTTATCAAATAAGTCAAATAGCTGGTACCCAATTATTTTATATTACGAACAGACTGAATTAAATGTAATTATAATAAGAAATAATGACACATTTTTTGCATGCCATTAGATATGTAATACTGGAGTAGGTTACACTGATGTAATAATTTAATACTAACTCGATTTTATAATATGATCACATAACCAATTGTCAATAAAATGTATATTTGTAATAGTATAATACTACTATTAAAGTGATAAACGTATTAAATTTAGTATAACGCATTAATATATAAAAATAAACTTACTTTTAATGGATGATCTACGACCTCAACTTCGACTATTTTGCTTTACGTTATGGAAATATGGATCTGAGTATCTGACGAACTTAACTGTATGAGGTAAAGAAAATTAAAAACTGTAACCTTCAAACCTTGATAAAAAAATTTTCCAGAGATAAAATATTTATAAAAACATATGAAGCATGGAGGAAACCATAGATATCAATACAATAATCTAATACTGCTAATACAATTATGTCTATGGAGGAAATAAGTGACAGAATGAAAAATGATTACCGCGAAGTTTAAAGAACAGACGTCCCGCCACGGACAAATACAAAATTTGTACAATACGTCAAATAGCCAATACTCAATACTATATACATTATACTATTAGTACACTACAGTTTAAAATTCATACAAACTACTGACCTGTTTGATCTTGATAGTTTGATGGCAATAGTGTGTTTCGTTTTCCGTACATTTTTGTAAATACCAGAGCTCTGGTTCAATGATTTGAAATGTGAATTATAGGGTTTTGTTTAGATCAATCGGAAAACGTAAGTATTTTGTTTTCAATGTTAGTGTACTTGTGTGCAGTGCACGATTATCTTTAATCGTGGTGTAGTGTACAATGTACATAATATAGTTGTGGTTTAAGACATTTACAAAAAAATTCTCCATTTTAAATTCAGTAAAAGTTGGTGATATTTCTTTCGACATTTGTAACGAACATACCTATTAGCCAAAAACATCGAAATTGCGTCAAATGGTACCCCGGGTACTACTGTCGATTGACAAACAGTCGTTGGATGCGTGTGATACGTCAATTGTTTACTGAAATTGACTTTTTAATTACACATCTAGTTAATTTATCACGAATATACCTTCCTTTACCCTATATGTAATCGTACTTCGATTGTCCGTCTAATTGTTAACTTATTTATACCAGTACACTCATAGCCGCTATATATTTTTCTATCACTGCCTCTCAGAAACTTTTTTCCACCCTCCACCATCTATACAAAATGCGCTGTATTAAAGTTATCATCCTTATCAAGACGTGCGGGCACTCATAGTCGGGGCTCAGGGATAATATTTTATCACAAACAACTGCGGCGCGCTCATTAATCATATACTAGGTGCGCGCTATAATGTTGTGTTACTAAAATAAAATAAAAAAAAAAACCGGTCAAGTGCGAGTTGGACTCGCGCACCGAGGGTTCCGTACAAACCTGTAGGTATATAAGTAAAAGTTCAACCAACACGACAATCGAGTCATAGTTATGGTTAAGGTTTTTGGAATTTTTCTGTTATATGTGCGATAAAACATTGCTTCATGCCGAATTTCGAGATTCTAAATCGACTTGAAGTACCCTATAGGTTTTGATTCCCTCGCAAGTAGTCGCGAGTTTGAAAATATGCGGCTTAAATTGTTATTATTTCTTTCGATTGCGTTGACATAAAAGTTTGATTTTGTTACAGTTTAAAGGTATTATAGACTTAAGTATTTAATATGAATTTTAATTTAATACCTCAACGCGTTCATGAGATAAGAAGTAGTAACTTTGAAATTTTCAAAATTGTCAAAAATATTTTATTTTTATATGATGAAACTAAAAATTTATGGTTTTCGTAATTTTTCCTATATCTGTACTATAAGACGTGACTTCGTACGAAATTTCAAGATTCTAAGTTCACGGGAAGTACCCTGTAGGTTTTGATTCCCGTGCGAGTTTCGAAAATTTGCGGAAATTTGCGGCCTAAATGACTGTAGCTTTACTGATTGCATTGACTTAGAAGGTTGATTTTTCTACAGCTTCCAGGGACAGTAGACCTGAGTATCATATAGAAATTTCAGTTTGATACCTCCACGCGTTCCTGAGAAAAACGGTCTTGACAGACGGACGGACGGACGGACAACAAAGTGATCCTATAAGGGTTCCGTTTTTTTCTTTTGAGGTACGAAACCCTAAAAATGTATTTTATAATTTTTTTTTCAGTAGTTATCACTTATATTTTTAGCAATATATCTAATGATATAAAGTTCTTCATGATTTTGGATGTTTTTGAGGGGGCTTAGCCCCTCCAGACACCCCTAATTACGCCTATAAGCACTCTTGTCACTAATATCCGTACTTTACACGTAGACAGTGGCGTATATAAGGGGTGGGCACAGTGGGCTGCAGCCCCCCTCCGAACAGTATTTTTAAATAGAACAACAATATATTTTATTAGGTGGTACTATTATAAGTTATAATATTTTATAGCCTGTTGAAAAATAACAAATACGAATATATTTATAGAAACTGTTAAATATATAGTAGACAATAGCTTCTAAGTAATAGATCACTTGCTAGTTTCTGTCTACTATAGCCCACCCCCAAAAATTATTTCTATTTACAACACCGTTAAACATGTAAGGGCAATCGGTACATTCAGTTGGGGGCAACTGGTACATTTTTAAAATCCTGATAGCAGCCGTGGGGGGAAACTGGTCAACACCCATTTCTTAAACTAAGAAAAAACTATACAATTAACATGAACCTAAATAGTTGATTAAAATGTTTAAAAACTAAACTTTCAACATTGTTAACATTTCTGTATACTTTTTTCATACAATAAGTCAATTACTTGATCCGAGGTTAATATCAGCACTCAATTCTGGCTTAATAAATAACAAGTAACAACCCCATACACGCCAAATATTGTGCATACAATCTAGCCGAGCGTCTATTATGATCAATACTAAATAAATAGATAATAATAAGCTAATAGTAATGGTTTTTATTAAAATTATTATTTTATAAACATAAACAAAATTCATAATAATATTATGTTACCTACTAATTTAAACACACCTATGAAACACAAAAATAGGAGTAGGTACGTAATAATAATTATTGAAAAATTTAAAATAAATTACTTTTAAATAAATAAATATACTTTTTCCACTCATATCTCATTGTTTCAATAGTACCTAGGTAACTTTTACATTGACTTTCCTGTGTACTAATTTAAAACTCTTGTCTTAATATTATTATTATTTTATTATATTTATGTATAACTGTATAAGTATATAACACTAATCAGGTTGAACACACCAAATCTAAAATCATTTTTAAATTATAAACTATTTTCAATTTATTCAAATTATTATTTTAATAGTTTGTATTACCTACTAAAGACATTTATTAATCTAGAAATTAAAAAAAAATCAGA